AATATAATCGATGTTCGAATAACAAAAATAACAAAAGAGAATGGGTCAAGATTTGTAAATTAAATGTGTCAACGATAAAACTCAAAAGAAGTTTAATTTTTTTTATATACAATATAAAGGCGCTAAGTATGTGTAGCCCTAATAGAAATATCCCGGTAAAAAAGTACCTATCCGCCCATGGGAGGGGGATACCGATATTATAATATATAATTATTTATTATCATAGGCAGAACTATGGGGTGTGCCAGTTATGCTTTAGCACACCTCGAATCACCTTCCAAATACTTTTCAAATCGGTAAAAAATTATTGTTATTCTACTAAATTAAATTAATTTCTAGTGAAGCAATATTAAAAAAAAATTGCTTACAGTTGTTACGTGTGTGTTTACTTAAACGTTTTACATAATATATTTTGTTTTTACCATACACAATGACATTTTTAAAATATAATGATTCATTTTAAGGTATTGTTATGTACACCACGAAACTAATAATTATTCTCACCGTTCTATTCGGTAAGTTATTATTCTTATTATCGACTTAAGTTAATAGCAGTACCCAGTGGCGTCACGAACATTTTATTCTTAGAGACAAATACTGAAGCTATCCATAAGTCGTAACCCACCCACCCACATATAGAACTAAAACCTGCTGATGCATATATTTTTTTTAATTATAAAATAAATATTGATATTATTTTACTATATCAATTAATATTAATGTATTTTATGTATTAAGTTACCTAATATTGAACCTATGTTCTTTTAACAAATTTAACATTGGCAGGTTAGTAAACTATTTTAATTTATTAAAAAATAACAATATTAAGAAAATAATATTAGTAAAACATAAATCATTCTACATAATATGACTACAAGACTACTTATGAGTATACCTAGTTAACATAACGTGAAAAGTATTCCTCACTCAAAAACGTACTTGTAGGGAGGGGGACTAGTGCGGTTTATTGCTTGTCCCAATATCAATCTGCGGAACTTTGCAATCTACTAAATTGACTCCGTTTATACCTTAACAAACTATATAAAATAATTTATAATTAATAATAAACATTAATTATAAAATGTATACAACGTGTTTTAATATAATTTATTATTGTCATTTAAGAAATTTAATATCTGGCTAATAATCCATGAAAATAAAAGAGGGGCCAACGTATACACTGCCACCATTTCATCTTTTCTTCAGCTAACTCCTCCTACAGGTTCCATAGTGTAATAAAATTGACATTATCACAGAAGAGCCACATTCCTGTTAAAAAAAAAAAAAAAAAACATAAAGGTCGACCCAAGACTCATATAATCTAAACGTTTGTTTTTTTTAAAATTTTAAATAAATGTATTTGTAACAATATTTAATTGAGTTCCTAATATTTTTCTGGCCGATACAAAATCAACAAAACATCGTTGCGATAGGTTTGACTAGTATAAATTATTTTTGTCACTCGAAGATTGTTGACATATGAGTCATTACCCACTTGCTACTCTACCTTGAAGCATCGACCTGCGTGTCTGCTATATCATTGTACTAGCTTAATACGTATTTTTGAAAACGTTTACCTCGTCTGAATCCATCAAGCTGCAGTTGACGGAGAGTGATAAGATGAAGTTAGTGTTCCAGGAACTTAGATCGGCTGAATTTCACATACCATCGACGTTTCCAACCAGCGTTAGAACAGGGCCGGCCATAATAAGATACTCGTCGACGTCAAACGTGGCCACAACATGTCGTCGACACTCGGTAGGAGACGCCGAGATTTATCAGTCGTTGTCAGTCCCGTTCGAACAATCGTCTAAGTTACTTCAGCAGCCCAAAGAGATCGGACCAAACTTACTACCATCCAGTCCACCGGAAAACAATATGCCCGTAGCGAACTATGCAGGATAAACTTTTCGTCATTATATGTTGCTGGTCGACCATGCGATTAGTTCCCCCGTTGTGGATACACCGGACAGAGTTGACACGACAACGTGTACGTCTGAGCCGGAACTTCGGGTAACATTGGCTGGCATCCTGAAGACAAGCGAATTCGGTGGCTGCATAGATAAAAGATTAATGGGTCATGGGTGGCTGTCGGTGGTCCTCATCACCGAACATCCTTCTACGTTGTTCACTGGTGGACCAACCAGAACCCGAAACGCATGACAAATGTAGTGACGTCACTCGTCAGGAGTTGTTGGCCAGCGAGCCTATACATCCCAAACGGCGTCGCACAATTTGGAGCCGGACGAAGAAATTCGTCCGGCGCATGTTGTGCTGCACCATTTAGGGTTAGGTTAAAAGTACGCGAGCAAAAAATAAATAAATGTTACAGTTGCATATACAGTTGTATATACAATTGAAAAAGTTATACAGACAAAAGAATATATTTTTCTTGTTTAATAAAATTATTTAATACAAAGACAATTATCAAACTTTATTTATTTGTACTAAAATTTATATTTAAATAGTTCCTAAATTAGGTTCTTAACAATTATATCTTATATTACTTAAAATATGTCTTAAATAAAGTAAAAACTAATTAATGTAAAAGTGAAGTGCTCGAGTTGATGGACTTCAAAGGTAATCTTACTTACAAAATTGATATCACTACCTACATTAACTATTACAGTGGCGTGACGAAGTGAAATATTTTATTGGGCAATTAATTTTTTGATTGACCTACCACCCACCCAGTGGCTTATCCAGGGGAGCCACAGGGGCCATGCCCCCCTCCCCCTCATTGGCTGTATTTGCTATTTTTTGTAGTATTTTATTTTTTTTTTTATTTTTTGCTATTTTTAAATTTTAAACAGTGTGTGACCCCTCCCTCCATACAAAAAATCGGTCGCGGGGAATTGGAAATACCCGTTGAACGATAAAGATTTTATTTATTTATAAGCTACTTCAATAGTATATAGAGTACAGTTGTAACTTGTAGTTACCACGTAAATATAAATTAAATGATAATGCTTTAAATAGCCATGTTTGGGGTTGTTATTCACAATATTGCGGTACTGTACTACTGAGTGAGTATCTTAGTATAGTTATTAATGATGTTATTAATTCTTATTCTTATATCATATTCAAATGTAGTTAGTTTCGTACAACAATATTTCTCATTAAAGCCAGTACTCACCACCCACCCACCCACCCATAATTATAGGGCACCTGTCCTTCAAAATCACGGTCGACACGCCACTGGCAGTACCTACCTAATAAAGGGTGTAAATATATACTACCTATAGATATTAGGTATGTTCTACTTTGTTCACACCTCACATGATTGGAATAAAGAGATTAATATTTCTATAAGAAATCCGGGGAAGATATTATAACAAACGATTGCTAATCGGCGATTAGTCTATTAAAACCGCTATATGCCTATATCAATCATTTTTGATACAGTAATTTACTCAAGATTGTATATAATTTGTTGAGTAAACGTTTATTACATTTTCAAGCTTTTTTAACCAACAAGAAGTGACCATGCCGGAAATGGATATCTCGTTCAGTCAGTCAGGGACAAGGCCCCATGTCTTCCTAATTGTACCTAAATGGAGGGGCCCTTTTTATTTAGCTGACCAAGTTATGTGTAACCAGGCCACCCCTGTAAATATCAGTTAAGAAACAGTCAACAGTATAGGCACTTGAACTCTTCTTTGCTGATGAGTTGATTGTATATAATATTATAATGTTATGTATTAAGTACTATGACAATAAATTAATAAAAATATATAAATTATGAACGATTGCAGAGATTAATAAATTAATTTATAATAATATATTTATTAGCCTGCTGTATCTACAATGTGTAACACAAATGCATTTTTATAACAGATATGGGAAAATGCAATTGAGCAGTAAACAGAAAAATGAAAAATAGACAATTATCGAATGTGGGCTAATTATGGGTAGATACCTATAGATCAATGCATATGATTAAATTCAAAGAAGCGCCATATAATTATAGAACATTAGAACTGTCACTGAATAAATCACACTCATTTAATTGATCGGTATCAAGTTGCATCATTATACAATCATTAGTTGTTATTATTATAATTTATAAACACAATCGTAATCAAATGCAAAATAATGAACGTGATCAACGTTTATGCATGAATGCATGATTACAGTATATATATATATATAATAATATACCTATGGGCTATGGCGCATTTAATATTAAGGAAAATAAAATTATGATCTAGCATTTGATAGAAAGTCGAAGCGTAGGTAACTTGGTACCTGTATAATATTATTTTATTTTAAATACAACTATTGATTATTACTATTTACTTATTAGCAAGGCTGGGCATTAACGCGTTAATAAGTTAAAGTTAAGTTAGTTTAACTTTTTAACTTAATAAGTTATTTTTTTTTATGTTTATTAACTTAATTAATAACTTTAGGAGCATTTAAATTAACTTTTAATTAACTTGAGTTAATTTTAATTTTAATTATTATGTAATGTGTTTTCAATTTTTTTAATTCATGTAAAATTTAAATACCTATATTATGAAATTACGAATATTATCAATGCCTGTTATTTTGCCATCGTCGCCAGTTGGTGGTTATAACTTATAGCTACAGATATTCCTATGAATTATTATAAACTATTTTGGTAATATTATATTTGTTTTATACATTATTATTATTATATTATACTTATTATTAAGAATTAATATCTATATAGAAGATAACGCTAGACGGACTAGACTGTTATGTGGCAATAGTGTAATACCCCGTTTATTTTTGTATAATTTATTATTAGTTCGACGTTTTCGTCGATTTCACCGAAATCTAGAATTCCCGCATGGACGCCTAGTGACTAGTGGTGGTAAAACCATGTTTCTATATTCGATATCGATACATATTATTACATATCTGTTACAACTACTAATACTGTCATTTCCAGGTTTTATTATAATATTATATTAGTCCGTGTCACGATGAAAAAATGAAAAATATCTTTAATCGCGGTTCGTGTTCTTGTCTTATTGATAATCTAACAACCCATACAGGCCTACCGCTAATTATCGTGTATTAGTAATAACTACTAATAAGTATTCAGTATTCAGTAATCACTGTATGAGTATAAAAATAAATACGCTACTCAGTATTGTACTCGCCTATACTTCGACTTCGACTAAAATATAAAGACGCGGTTAGGTTAAACTAACGCGACCATTTTCGAGTTTGTACAATCTGGTATCAGTCTACATTTTCCGTATAGTACTGTTAGCTTTTTGAACACATAAAATAATAATAGTTCTTTGGTGTAATAACATGAACAATTTTAGGTACGAATATTTTAATTTTTCCTATATGAAAACAAAAAAACTTTTTTTAACTTAACTTGAGTTAAAAAGTTAATATTACATTTTGGTTAACTCTTAACTTAGTTTAATTGATAGAACATTTTGAATTAACTTTTAACTCTTAACTTGATTTAGATTTTAATTTAACTTAACTTAACTGAGTTAAAAAATATCATTAACTTGCCCAGCCTTGCTTATTAGTCACTACATTGTATAGACAATATGTTATAAATTATAAGAATCAGATCACAGTAAGTTGTTGTCGCCGCTGCATTAGTCTTTAAACTCACAACAATCATAATTTATGATGGTTATACATTTATAATTCATAATAGTGTTTATTATATAATATAGCCCTATGTGTCCCATAATGCAACCATAAGACATATTTTATTTTAAGACATATCTTCTGTCCAAACATAACATTAAATATAACCTGTTGGCTATTCTTTCTCTTGATTCGGTTAAATATTTATGGATTGTGGTATATTTTAAGGTTCCAATTATTTCCAATATGAACTAGGAGGTACTGGCAAGGGCACCCATTGGAAGGGTGACAAGAGAAAACATGTCCTCCCTCTAGAAAATAATAAATTATGCAAAAAATAATAATATATTCTTTAAATATCTTTGAATGTACTTATTTCATATTTAATACCATACTTGATACCATAGACTTTTGTTCAATGCTTTTCACTTAATTAGTAAACCATTCGTATTATGTTCGTATAGAATAATAGGTTTTTTAGAATATTTTAGAGTATTTCAATCTATTTTCATTCCCTCCTCCAGGAAAATTCTCTGGGGTGCCCATGGGTAGAGATAAATATATCCATTGGATGGCTAATCCACTCATAATTTGGCTTACATATCCCCTTCACTTCGACACTTCAGAAATCGATACAGTGTCGAATGGCTTAAAATAAAGCGGTGATCTTTTTTAATTTTCTTTTAATCTTATTAATCCCAAGCTACGCGTCAGTATGCGTTACTATAATGAATAGCGTCCTAATAATTTAATCACTTCACTCCCAATCATGTTTTTTCATTTATCTTTATCACGTTTATTGTGGCAGTTCTATAAGCTAATGGATAGCGCCTACCAAATCACCTTGCCTACAATTCATAGGGACGAAGTAGAATGAGTGAAAAAACACCTAAAGGTCCCAAAGCATAGTTCTTTCTCTCTCGGATATCTCGTTGGTAGCTGGTTGCTCTCTCTAAGCGCTGTCCATTAGTTCTTAGGTCAATGTTTACTGTATACTTTAGTTTAGTTCAGTAGCGTATTATGTAAGAGGGAGGTAGATGTTCAACATTTTTCGTATGTTTTCAATATTAGATATTTTTATAAATTAGGAGGTATATATTTGAAATAATTAACAATCACCTACTATAGCAGTGGTTCTCAACCAGTGTGCCGTGTCACACTACTGCGCCGTGAGATCGACTAGATATACCGCCGAAAATGTCATACATGTTTAGGCGCGTGGCGATATTTATTGCCTTCGGCGAAGTTTCCAAAGTTGTTGTGGTTGTCAAGTGCGTCAGTGCGTCAGTGAAAATTTGTGATGTATAATAGTGTGCCGTGAACCAAAAAAGATTGAGAACCACTGTACTATAGTAGTATTCAAAAATACGAGTTACTTGTATTTAAATACTCTAAAAAAACATCTTTTACAACTAATAGGACTATTATCAAAACTGTAGTACCTACAATACTACGTCTACGTGAATCTTACTCATAGACCGAAAACTAGTTCATAATATTATCAATTTATTATAATAACTTACAGTTGATGGGTCTGTGGTCTTAAATGTATATGGCATATCAATTAGAGAGTGGATTTTTAGGTTTTTCCATATATTTTTTGGCTTTATGCAGCTCAACAGTTAACAGGGATACATAATCTGAACAGCTTATTCAGTACAAAATTCGTAAAAAAAATTGCTTGTACCTATATTACAACAGATTAAAAAAAAATAAAGAATATTCCTTATTCAGTCTATATTTTATGCATAAGAATGAAAAAATGTTTTGATTTAAAAATGAAAAATGATAGAAATTGTTCCATAATTTGTTTGTTAATGAATTGAAATTTTTGAAATGTGTTTGATTCTTTAAAGTGTGACTGAATTTAAATAATTTACCATAGAAAAGCTATGCAATAATTATTTTCAAGTTGAGGCTTAGGTATTATTACATGGTGTGCAATAAATGGAAGGTAAATGTAAATATTTATTTTTTTTTAATTTAGGCTTCAGCAACTGAGGCCCCATTAGCTAAAATGTAAATATTATAAATGTATACAGTTGTACTATATATTTTACATATAATAAGTTTCTATTGTATCAAACTGGTATGTAGATTTTTAAATTATTTGAAGTAAAAAAAATCATATTTTCCGTGTATTTTACCAGTTTGCGGATTATTAAGATAATATTTTAAGGTTTTTTTTGAGCATATTAGAATCATTTTTTAAACTTTTAAGAACCTAATAATCCGCTCTTTATTTAGGTATCACTATTGCCGAATTTTAGACGATCGTTACTCGCCACTCGTCAGGCGCAATATTCACGTTGGTCTACCTGAAATACCCGACGTACGCATTTTGAGAACGCTTGATGCGCTACAACTGGGTTTGTGATACTGGTGACTTTTTTTTATCAGTCATATGACGACGATTGATTATTGTCTGGCTCGTTGACCGTCGTACAACTGGTCGTAACTCGTATTCAATCGTATCTATTGTGGTTTTTGGATACGCAGGTACCTAGAACATTTATTATATATATATAAATGTATAATGATATTCAGGTTTCAGCTGGCATTCCCCCATTCCGATAGATTAGTGTCGGACATTCCTACGCGGTTAACCGGTATTGTCTAATTTAAAATTAAAATACAATTCGCAAGTCTACAGTGCCTGCCTGAACTCATGGTGAAACTCCTTAATATAATTTATGACACCAATAATATTATTGTTTATTAATAATTAATTAATATAACAAACTTTGGAAAATGATGATACTGTTATTATTGTTCCATAGTTAAGGACGTTTTAGGTACTGTCGATAGAATACTGAATATTATTTTCAAAAACCGAAATGGCTGTGGCACCCAATCCGGAATATTTACAGGTATATATTAATTTACCGTATTATTTCACATACTATACCTAGTTACCCGAAAAGAGTTTTATTTTTGAAATAATGAAAATTTTTGTTTATTTAATTTGTGGGTCAATAGTCCATCTTGAATACCCCATAACGAGTTATGACCTAGTAGTATTTTTAATTTGAGCTACTAAAGTGTCCAAACTTTGCATTGGTAACTAATATATACTTCTTCGGTTTCTAAACTGACCAACTTAAATTTGTTGACTGTTCATTTTTTCTAATGGTACTCATCCAAATATCCAGTATAATTATTTATTATTGTTTTCATTTTAAAACTATATTTATGTATATCTAGAATTAGGAGAAAACCTTAAGTGAATATAAAATATTAGTTTATTAATTTGATTCTCAGGCGTTTTGATTAATAGGATTCTAAAAATTGTTTCCATATATTTGCTATTACTCAATGTACTTATACATAATTTGGATATTTATTCAAATGATTAGGAAAGAATACCGATTGTGGATTCTCTATGGAATTCCTTTTTACACATCATAACTTATGTTAAATAAACGTTAATGCTTCAATGATTTAAATTACATTATAAGATAATTATTAATTACCTAACTAACCATAAATTTAATTTTTGTTCAAGACTCTACTCGAAACATTCAAATGTTTTATTTGTATGGAAAAAATACAAGATGCACATTTGTGTCCACATTGTTCAAAATTATGTTGTTACTCATGTATGCGCCGATGGCTTACAGAACAACGATCTCAATGTCCACACTGTAGAGCTACATTACATTTACATGAAATCGTCAATTGTAGATGGGTCGAAGATTTATCCGAACAACTTGACTGTTTGCACAGTACTGTCAATATAGGCAGTATAAGACAGAGCCAAGAACAAAGGTAATCAACAAAAAAATTTTTGATCACCTATTCAAAATTATTTGACATTTTTTATTTTATTTTATATTAGATGTGAAATTCATAACGAACAATTGTCTGTATTCTGTATTTCATGCAATTCTACTATCTGTCATCGATGTGCTCTATTTGACAATTCGGCCCATAATGGTCATTCATTCCGACCTGTTGAAGAAATTTATAACGAAACAATAGCGCAATTGGGTGAGAGTTGTGACAACCTCAAAACAAAAGAAGAATTGATTAAGAAGGACATTAAAGAACTTGTACGTACTTTAATGTAGCGCGTAAATACAGTTTAAAAACTAAAATTTGATTTTAATGTTTTATAAGAATACATCTTTTTTTAAATTCAAGATTCTACTTAGATTTGTATGCTGATTAGTTAACCTTTAAGACACACTTGGAATATTATTTCTAAACATATATATTAATATTATATACTTTATACCGTTTTTAGGGTACTATATTGAGTCACTGCAGAATTTATTTATGTAAAATTATTTAACCCAGAGGTATTCAAACTGCGTCGCTACTCCCAGGGGCGTCGCGGGAGTTGTCGAAGGGAGTCCCGTAGTATAATTGAAAACCAATAAATATTTTTACGAAAAACTCCTGTTGGTAAACATTGAATTGTCTACAACAATCATTCGCTAATCATAGCTTTAATTTTTTTTTTTTATATGTAATATGGTAAATAAATTATATTCATATAGACATTGATTTTTTTGTCATTTATAATTTTCGAGTCGTCAACATTTTGTGAAGACTTAAAGGAGCCGTGGGATGAAAAAGTTTAAATACCTCTGATTTAACCATTAAAATATAATTCATAGTGAATAAACAAAGTAGATCAATTTTTCTATTGTTTTAAACTCTAGATATTCACTCTATGAAATCTGTTTATTTCGTCCAAAAATTTAGTAACTCAGTAATATTTAATGTTTTAACTAATTTATGTAAAAATATAGCATTCTATGTCTCCAACCACCACAATCATATTAAAATTCAATATTGATGTTTTAATGAAAGAAAAACAACCATTCATTTAATTAATCAATGTATTTTTTAGGATAAAAATATTAAACAAGTACAACAAGCCAAAGATCAAAAAGTTCGTGAAATACGCACAGCTGTGGAGTGTATGATGATTGACTTAGAAAAAGATCTGAATAACAAACTTACTACTCTATTAACTCAAAAAAATCATTTAGTCAATGAATCTGAACAAATAGAGGAACTTTTGCATGATTGTGATCAAGAAGTAGCTCGTATGCCAATGTCACAATTGATTAATAACGCTCCAAGATTTAAAAGAACTATTTCCGCAATGCAAAATAAACAATCTCCGGTCCTTATGTCTGTGTATCCAGATTTCCATAGGTAAATTATTTAAAAATAGAAAAAAATAAAAAATAAAAATATATTTTTAATTATTAGCGAAGTTATACCAAAGTTTGAAGGAGGTAATTTGATAATTAAATCCTTTTCTGATAAAATGATTCAGTCTGAACCTATCTATTCACTTCCAATTGGTTGCAATGGTGTCAGTTGGAGACTTAAAGTTTACCCTAATGGTAACGGCATCGTGAGAGATCGATATTTATCAGTGTTTTTAGAGCTAACTTCTGGACCACCTGGGGTTTCAAGGTTAGTTGCTTATTTTAATAAATTAGTGTTAAGTCTCTAAAAGCAAAGGTTGAATCTATTCTGTTAACCCATTTTGCATCATAATTAAACAATTTATATTATGAATATTCATTTTTTTTAGATATGATTATCGTATTGAAATGGTTAATCAACTAAATGAACAAATCAACGATAAATCTAAAAATGTTCTCAGAGAATTTACATCAGATTTTGAAATTGGAGAATGTTGGGGATATAATAGATTTTTTAGACTTGATTTATTAATTAATGAAGGATTTTTACAACAAGATACATTAATTTTAAAGTTAGTAATTTTTATGATACTTACCTATATTGTTTATTTTTTAATATTATAATCATTATTAATATATTTTTTAAACAGATTCAGTGTTCGACCACCTACTTACTATCAAAAATGTAGAGAACAACAATGGTATTTGTCTAAATTAGAACTTGAAAGATCTGTACTCTTACAGCAATTTGAAGAATTGAAACAGGTATTTTTCACTGTTTTTGTAACTAATATTTTAGTTTTTAAAATATTAATTAATATGTTATTGAAATATTTTGCTATTTATAAACATTCATCATTTTTATAGAAAATTCCTGCTAAGGTTAAACCTATTTGTAGAGAAATTCCTAGTCCAAAAAAGAAGCTAAAAATTAAAATACAATCATTATTGGATGAATTTGAGTGTGCAGAAGCAACTGGGTAAGAATAGCAATGACACACATAAACATTTTCAATTGTGGTATTAATTTTTAAAAAATCCAATGGTGAAGGAGGTTAAACACCCCCTCCCACCTATCAAATGTATGCATCGATATTGCTTGTATTAAAATACATAATTCTTTCCAAATTTCAGAGAGATTTGTAATAATTATTAACTAATTTAAATTAAATATTTGATGTAGACATCTTAGGAGTCCAATAAAAGATCAAGAAGTTCAAGGAGCATCATGTGAAACTGCTTCTAATATGGTACATTTGCCATTATCAATACAAACTCTATATGATAATGAATTCCAAAATCGTTTTCAAGGCGAAACTGCCCAATCTATGTTTGAGAGACTTAGCCGTCTTTTTGAAGAATCAGATGTAAATAATTTATTGCTTTTAAAATATCCCGCATGTTAAACCTATTATTGCTATTATTACTTTTGTTTTGTATTTAGAACCCAGATAGACCAAATTCTATGCATGGGAATAACGTCAACAACATAACTTTGGATAATATTGAACATACAAGTCCATCGGGTTTGTTTATTATTGTTTCTCAATTTCATTTTTGTTAAGACTTTCACAACAATTATTTTATTTCAGATTTCCGTTTGGAAAATAGTTTAAGAAAAGTGGGAGAAAGTCAATTAAATTCCCCTAATAAATTAAGTGAGTACTAATTAATTTACAACATTTTACATTTTCAACAGTTTATTATGTGTCAACAAATTGAAATGCTATGTTTTTCATTTTTTTATTAGGAGCTTCTGAAAATTCACATATGGTTAATAAAATTCAATATGAAATAACTGAAGCAAAGTAATTTAGAATTTTTATGTATAGTTGATGGTTTACTAACCTGGTGTTTAATAAAAATTAATTTTTCTAATTAATGCTTAAATTATTTATTATTTTGACTATTAGATTTCGCTTGAAAAAATTGGAAAATGCTATGCGTAATTCTCAACCAGGTAGTCTAATTTCAAGTTATTACTATTTTTATAGAAATATTCTGTTATGTTTTCAAATACAGTTTGATCCATTTAAGAACTAGTAATTTCTAATTTTCATAATCATTTACCAACATACTATCAACTTAAAAAAATAACATTGAAAAAACTAGAATTTTATTAAAATGTGATTGACACTGAATAATTAAATTAATATTTTTTGCTTATTTATAGCTTGTTAATCAAATTATTGTGTAATATTTTGTATATAAAAGTATATAACATATAATTTAATGGCAAAGCTATGGTATTGTGTGTAGTATGTTTTATTTAGTCTGATATTTTGATAATATTTGACTGTAATGAGCAATGGGATTCTATTATGATGAAAGTATCTATGTACAAGATACTAAATATATAGATTCTCACCTCAAAATAATGATAATATATTCAACTTCAACATTTTTGAAAAGATATTGTATCTATATTTAGAATAAGAATGTACCTAGGTGACGGATCATATCAGGTTTACCACTTACTAGAAGTTGGCAATTGTCTTACAAAAATACTGTTATATGAAAAGTATGACAAGGTTATGGAGTGTAACTAGTCTGCCACCTGTGAGACCAGGTACTACGTTCTTATTCTGCGACGAGTATATAACATAAGTAACAAGACACATTTTTTAACAATTTTGAAAACTTACTTGAATAAATTATTAATTATTATTGTTTATTTTTTTAAACAAAATATCTTTATTTATGTACATTATCTTTATGAAAATAAAAAATAATTAACAAAATAACAAAATACTAAGTATATTGAGAATCAAGTATATAGATATAATAAACTATGTATTTATTGTATCTTTGATACAATTAACAAATGTAAAAAAATACTAACATAAAAATTAAATTAAAATGTATCTAATGTTCCTGACTAAATATAAATGTCAGACTAAATAAAATCTAGTGCCATAGCTACCAAATCAAATCTTACCTCAAGCACTCAGTTACATTAAGATATATTTTTCACAATAATAATTGTGTATTTTAACTTACAGAGTCTACTAGTGAGTTGGCAAGTTCGTCAGATCCAACAAATCTAAGAATGTCTGAAAATAGACTTGAGGATTTGCCTCACCAAACCATGATAGTTCGTGGATTACATAACCCTATACTAAATGTAAATATTATAAAAATAATTATTAATCACTGATATTTTTATGAGAACACTTATTATGTCTACAGAAAAATGAACAACCTGTAACTCAAGAAACAACAAATACAAATGTATCAAATAGGTAAAACATATTTACAATCAGACAACAACTATATTAAACATTATTAATTTGTTTTTGATCTTAAGGTTTTTAGATATGTCAGATATATCCGATGACCTTGAAGATTTAATCAATTCCGTTTTTGTAGACAACTCCTATATAGGTAATTGATTTTTTCATTATCCAATGATTACATTATTTGATTTCTACAAGTCTGACAACAGTCGTGTTCAACACGGGGTTAAAAAATCATCACTATTGACATATCAATCATATGATGAACATATGTTCACAATTCAGATATCTTTTAATCTTATATTATGTATCTATATTTCTATTGCCTTTTTAGTTATTATGTTATTATTCATAAATAATTTTTATGAAAATATGATGAGTGATTGTGAGATTTTCACGGGCGGTTCTAGAGACATTGTTTTTTGGTGGGAGAGGGGTTAAGTCATAATTTTCAGAAATCTTTTAATATTATAATAGGTTTTTTTTTTGTAATTTTGTTTTAAACAATATACAATTTTTAAACATAAGAGCTTGGGATGGGGCTGCAGCGGACCCTGAATATTTTTAGTAATACCTCAATAAAATATTAAAATTACTAACATCAATTCTAATGGTATTTTTATTTTATTTTTGTATATTAACATAGTCATTATAATTATTATAGATAACTGGGAAGTTAATCAGAGCTCCTCCGCTGAAGAAGTACAAAGTCCCAACAACGAGTCATTATGTCCTGATCATCTGACCAGAGATGAATGAGCGTTTAAACTTAAAATAGATATTTATATTTTGGTTAATTTAATTTTTCATTATTTTGTAAGTTACACATAAATATTATTTAAAATTGTTTGTTAATATAAAAATTATTATTTATTACCTCTAATTTTAAAATGATTCATCAAAAATTGAGGTAAATCAAAAAGTTAACTATATTGAGGAGTGTAAATAGTAAATACAACATTTTTCAAATAAAACTATGTTAATTTCTCTAATTTTTTGTTTAAGCTAAAATAATATTAATCCTAAAAATATCCATGTACACTAGTGTCATATAATAGAAATGAGCGACTAGCTGACACATAATTTGTATTACCTCTTAGTGAGAATTCCCACCCACTACGATTTATTATTTAAAAATTAGGTGTATAATAGAAATGCATGCACCTTTGTTTAAAATAATTGATGAATATTGCAGGACAATACTTAATCCTTCTTATCTAAACTTCTTTGTTATTTTATTTTAAGATATTACATTCTGAGTCTCAAGGGTTATAGGTTCATTTGATATTTACAATGTTCAAAGTATAATAAATAATAATAATGAAATACCCAGTAAAATCTAAGTAGTTTCAGGTAATGAAAAGTTTGTTGGTAACAAAATTTGAGGTCTTCGTTAGCATGAGGCATAGGACCAAAATAGGGGAGTATTTAATAGATTATAAGATGAAGAAAATTGAATAGAAAAAGAGATGAGGAATGGTTGTATCTAGTATAATGAGGTGGAACTTTAAAATGTATTTGTGTGAGGAGGATATTAATGTGCAATGAATTAAGTTGAATAAAAGTTAAGTAATTAATGATATTTTTGCAGTGCCTGATTACCAAGTGGACAAATTTAAAACTATGGTCTTCAGATAGGAACATATGATCATGTGAAGAACAAAGCCACAGGATCTGTAGAGATTATACAGCAAATTATAGGGACTTGTATTAAAACTCTTACAGTCGCTAAGAAATCTTTTGATAGTTGAGAGTTCTAAGAAAACCTCATTTTTATTCATAAAAAAATAAATAAGGTTAATAAATAATATGGTTATAGTTCAATATTTTAAGTCAATACTTGTAGAGCAGGATAACACATAAGTTAGTAATTCTCGTTTAAATAATTTAGAAGCTTACAGTAATCTGTAGACTGTGGTTATTACTCATTCTGCATTTGGACAAGACTGAAGTCACCAAAGTAAAAAGTACAAACTATATGAATATAAGATGGTTTTTTTTTTGTCAAAGAACTATTCAACGATATATAATACATTATTTCAAATATCTAGTGGTGAAAGTTTCATTTAATCTGTGGACTGCAATACATAATGCAATGATTTCAATTGTTTTCCTTCAAACGATAATAGAATATTACCAAACAATTTATCTACGCAAGTCGTTGAAAAATTAAAAAAATCCAACGACGCGGGAAACCAAAAAACTTGTTTACGTTTACGGGCATCCAGTACTCCAGTTATCAGTAGGTTATCGTCTACACTCGGAAGACGATCATTAATGTTTACATTTGGTCTTTCGAAAATTTGCTCGATTCGTTTAACTATTAATTTTAAACAAAATTATGTTTCATTCTGGCTCCGGCTGTCTGATCACTATAACGTAGAACCGGTTCAACGTAACAGTAATCTCTTGTATGCGCTGTAAACTATGGGAAAAGAACACAAAAAGCACAAGAAACACAAACATTCAAAGAACAAACACAAACCCAAAGACGAGCGCGAATATCACGTTCCGATCGTTCCGCTCAAGAGCGACGTGCGTCCGAAATCGGTGTCGAGCGATGCGGGTGAGTCGAGAGACACCGTCGCCAAGCCCATCGGACCAATTATGCCGCCTGGCCTGTCGAGCTCCGTCGGTGGTGAACACGAGACCAATGCACCAGGACCGGTGGCCGGTGATCCTAACCACTCGTATGGGCCGAGCTTACCGCCACACCTGGTTCCGCAGAAACGCGCTCCAGGACCATCGTTACCTTTGGATTTCAAAATTGAAGATAAAGTTGTCGCCCAGATTGATGACGAAATCTCGGGTTTCGGTCCATTACCGGCCGAGCTGATAACTTCAGACTCCGAGCAACTGTTTATACAGAAACAATTGGAATTGCGAGCTGAATATATGAAACGAAAATTTGCAGGAGAAGTTTGTACAGTTTATTTACTTGCATAAGCATAATATTTGTAAGCACACTTTGTTTTGATCGTTTGAAATTAACTAACGCAATTTCTTCTATGTAGATATACGACGACAAAAAACAGGAAACGGTTAGAGAGAAATGGATGTTAGAGCTGCCGCCAGAAAAAGCTGCCAACCTAGGTTTAGGGGCAAGGCAGTTCAGGAAACGAGAGGCTCCTGACATGAGTAACCGATCAGAATGGACTGACACGCCGACAGATAAACAACGTAAAGTTCAAGAACCAAAAACTGCAGAAGAAACTGACATGGAAGCATTGAAACTGATCGCAATTCAAAAACGTGACGAGGAAATGGAAAAACTTGCAGAAACCTCAGTAAAACGGAAACCTTATTCATTATTAGAAATGCACCAAGAAAAACTAAAAAAACAAAAAAAGGTAAACTTAATACAACTAAAGAATTATATTTTTATTTTATCAGTTACAACTTTTAATGATCATTGAGCTTAAAATTTAAATTTAATACTTGTCTACAGACCAAAAAACTTGAAATTAATTGCTCAGTCAATCAGCTGATTAACTGTTTAAAATGTGACCAGAAGTCTCAGAAATTTAAAAAAAATAAATTCAGAATATCATTAACTTGAATTAAATCATATTTAAGATTTTCAGAAGTAATAATTTTATTAATTTTTTAGGAAAAAATTAAAGAAGAACCTGTTGAAAGAAGACCTTTTAGTAGGGATATTGATCTTCAATGTAACAAATTCGATAACGCTCAGAAACAATCAATATTGAAAAAAGCCAGTCAGCTGAATAATAGATTTTCACAAGGTGAATCTAGATTTCTATGAATCTTAATTAAATCTTACTATGACTTGTCGGTAATTACCCGTTATTAACATCAATAACATCTATGTATGTTTATTGAGTACGCATTGATTTTCTTCACTGAACTTTACAAAATATATTCACACATAATATGGATGAGACTAATTAAAATGTAATTTAATTATGAGAAAATAGGTACTCTTTAAATTAATTTAATTTATATTACTACCAATTGAGAAAATTTAAATTATTTATTACACTATTTATTACCATTCTTAATGGCATTAGTAGGTACCTAGTCAAATATTATTTTCACATCCCACACTATTTATTAAGTAAACTTAAGCAGTAAAAATAACGATAAGAAACAATAAAGATATTTTAACAATTAATAAATCTTTAAATTAACAAAATAATTTCATGACTGATTAGTGATAATAATATAATATATTATAATCATACTAATGTTCAGTAAGTCCAGAGAGTTATTTGGAGAGGAGTGAAGGTATGCCGAGGCATAATTATTTTGAAAAATGTTATTCTGCCATTAATATACAAATTACTACTTTTGTGCTTTTTTTTTTAATAGTTTGTCAAGCACCTACATATTATGTTTCAAGGAATAGAAATATGGTTATGATAAAATTTTTAAAAAAAAACTAGTTTTAATTGACATCTAATAGAATATATTGTAAAAACATTTTTACAATATTAAAATATTATGTTGGTTATAAATATTACATACAATTTTAAAATCACAACAGACTTTTTATCTATTCATTAACAAATTGAAACAATCTTATAAATATACTATAAAGTAATGTGCATCTTTATTATGTTTATGGCTTCTTGGGACATGGCGTTTCAGCAATAACATACCCTATTCTTTTCAAATAACGTAATGTCATACCAGTGCCGCCTAATGTTACCATATATCTGAGTGGCGTGAAAATTTTATACAGACCATAGGCGATGACCAAGTAACTAGTCCATGAGTTACCGTTCCTTACTTTGTCGATAATACTATCGGGAATGCCTAACTTTTCCAACAGTGAGGGCACATCCCAAATGCTGGCAACAAAATAAAACGAACCAAACCATATGGTTGATGTAACCAGATGAACAGGTAGCACAATGTACCAATACTTTTTGGCCATGTTCTTGAACCTCTGGAAGATACTTTGCGACTTGTCGTCGTCCGGCGGTGGTGGCGGAGTTGTCGTTGTGGTCGTCATCGTAGTCTGTTGTCTGCCAGAAGTATAATGTAAGTGCGATCTAAGGTTGTGTGTAGCAGTTAAACATCCGAGGCCGCGAAACGATTGTTGTTTCCTCTGCCCGGTGGTTGAACACTTGGATAAACAAACTGTACAAGAGACGTACAGCCGGCGCGAGCACAACACGTTCAATCTCGCGTTAGTCAACGCGATCGCGAGGAAATTGCATCGGGAGAGCATTTTTTTGCTAACTACAAACGCCGGACGATTTTAAGCTGCTTGAACTAGCACCGGCTACCAACTCCATTTCCGGACGCTCCGGGAACGAAATTTGAAATGAGAGGCTGGCTCTGGCTGATGATGTACTCACGTACGTTGTACGTCTGATTGCATATTATGCAGTATGATTCAATAAATACGAATTGCAATCACCATCGTTATGTCGTTATCACCGCCATCACGCGTTATCTCGTCGACTTGTGACAACACGGTATCACGTGGTATCGCCACTGATACTGTTTTTTGTAGCCAGTGGTCACATGGTGGAAATTTATAATTTACGTATTAACAGATGGCGCTACCAATTTTGGTTTCTTTAAATATGATTTACCCATGATTAAATAATACAATTTATAATTAATACTCTGTTCTATTTAAAAATAAATATATTACATCTTTAATCATGGTTATAACTCTATAGCACGATCCATCGGATATTCGGATTAAAGAATGTCTATCTTAAATCGTAGTCAATAAAAGCCAGATTTTTTTTAAAGCCGTTTTGGGACCCTTCTCAGCACTACGTGCAAGGCACTTAATCCACAATATACAGAAATATGGAGAATATAATACTTTGAAATTGTATAGGCCCTGGAGTCTAGGGTCTAGACTCAGTGCCTATGACGTAATACGACTGCAATCTGAATAAATGCAGTGGCGTGGCGAGGAGTGCATATTTCGAAACCATTAACCCTCTACTACATAATATATAACTAAGAGCTATAAGTTAATTAAAAAATGTTGTTACGGGACGTCATCAGTAATAATTTATAGTACAAAAAAAATTATAATAATTAATTGTACATTCATCCAGAATCCACACAAATTGTAATTTCTAAAACTAAGCAATTGCATTTGGCAGTGGTGGGACATAGGGCTCAATTTTGACGCAGCTGACAACTTTTCCAAGCGGGTGGTGCCACCCCTTAACTGTGTGGCAGAATAACATGCTGAGGCCCAACCTCTTTGCTTTTTCTTCCACATTTTATTTACATCATAACTTTGTTATAAGTAAAAATAATGGGGTGATAAGTACTTAATTATGAAAATGCGTCATTCAATATTTAAGTTCAGTCCGCCACTAGAATTAGGCATACATTGTTTACTATGCCATTGAATGTAAGTAATATTAGTAGTAGTATCCATCATAGAGGCATTGAAATATTGAAACTCATTAGTCAAATCTGAAAGCCAACATCCCCTAAAGTTTAGCCAAAATACAAATCAAATATTCTTATGCAGGAGAAACATGAACAATCACTTAATATTTAATGAAACTCCAGTGAGTTGATTGAAACCGAATTTAGTGGCCCTTTATTGGCCTGGTAATCAGTCGAAAAGTATGTTTTTAAAAAAAATGCTCAAAAAATACAAAATATTCTATTAAATTTTCATTTATAATTGTATTAATAATAATTAATAAATAATATTATATATAATTTAAATATGAGGATATATACATGAAAAAAATGTAATAAATTGCCTTAAACAATATTAATACATTATATTTGATTATTATTCCTTGTACTTATTAATTAAAATAATGGCGAGTATAAAATTAAGTTCAAAAATATAAACCTTTTGGCTTTCACAAATATCATAAACATTTCTTAATAAGGTTCCTTATATATCCAATATAATATATAATTATAAATGAAAATTTAATAGAATATTTGGAATTTTCGGTCTTATTGCCTAACAATAAAAAAAATGAGTCCAGATTTTTTCCAAACAGTCCAGTATATTTTAGGGAACCATTAAATTAATACGTTTTCTATGCAACTCTTAACATTAGTCTGATACACCATTCAAAATTGTTTTTGCATACAATAATTAAACATCAAATTCAAATTTAACACATCCATGATAGTGACCAACTCAATGATAAAATACATTTGAAACCTATACAGCAGGGCGACTAGGTTTTTTTAATATAATTTTTAGGGTACTAATTAATAAATAATAATGGAAGTAGCTACATTTCCATTTGATATATTTTACTATTACTCAGTGGCCAGTGATACATGGTTTTACCAATTATCAATAAAAATTGGATTAATTAAATAAACTCAATATTGTTACTATATATTATAGTAAATTATAATATATTTATTTAATTAAAATTTGTAAGCGGGTAATGAATTATAATTAACTATAATGATATTTAGTATATTAATTAATGATAATTGCAGATTTTCTCTGTAATTATTTGACAAAATATAGTGTTTATCATACTTCATATTATTATAAATTATAATACTGAAAAAAAGGGATAATCTTAAACTATAAAATATTAAATAATCTATAATAGTCTTGATGAGTTAGTTAAAGGCTTATAGCTATTAATACAAATTAAAACACTTAAAAACACTAATTAAATATGATAAAACTATGAATTTATGTATAACTATAATATTATAAACACTCAATAAACTCAAAATGTATTTGCTTAGTGTAAGCAATATCCATGATAAAAAATAAGTAATAACAAAAACTAATAAAATATAAACAACACTTGAGTATCATATAAACTTTGTTGGAAGATGTATCACTGAATTAATTTTAATATTGGTAGTGCCATTTTTCGAAACTGAATCATGAAACCGATCACAATGAACAATTTTGTATACTATAATTCATATTTAATAATACTAAGAACGGTTATCTGAAAGAAAGTTGGTTTTACTGCAGTGGATAACAGTGTTAGTTTAATAAACACAATATTGGATCTTCTTAAAGAATATTACACAATTAACATATACCTAAATAAAAACTTTAAACATTTCAACATGATGTGTATTATACAATTAAAATGTATAAAATGTTAATTGAAATAAGATATTTATGAAATGAAACCAATGTTTAATTCAATTACATTGAAGTACACATAACAAGTTTTTAGAGGTGTGAAGAGAATAACCAAATTTAAAAATGAATCTCTTTTTTTTTTTTTTTTTTTAATTGATCCTGAGCCCGGCAACTGTGGCCATTAGCTATTAGTAGGTACTGTAGGTTTTTGTATTGATGGTTTGTAGGTTTTTGGAACGGTAGGGGGAACACGTGTGTGTTTGTTTTGGCAGAATTTCGAATGGGGCACCCGTAGGTTTCTGCCATGCCCCGGGGGTGGGGGATGGCAGCACTTGCTCTCCGGTCACCGCGACTTGTCCGGAGAAAAATGCCGCCCGGTGGCCGAGGATCGAACCGCGACCGGCTGCGTCGCAGCGGAAGAGTCAGACCACTCGGTCACCTCGTCCCCCGAATCTCTTTTTATATGATGTGTTACTTACAATACATTATTTTAATGGTGGGTTTAAATAAATTACTTATCGGAGTATTGTTATTTTTACGTGGACTAGAGGTTTCCACACACTGCAGCAATAGCGGTGGCGGTAGCGGTAAAATGAAATCGAACACAATTTACCGCAACCGCAAAGACAAAAGAATTGTACCAATACCGCTGCAGCATGTGGGGACCTTAACCTAAGCACAGAATTTAAGTAAATCAATTTGTTGTTACTTATTAATTAATTAAATCAAATTTCTAAATTATTGTATATGATTTAGGGTTGTTATTGCAAACACAAAACACAATTTTTTCATTCATTAGAGGACATCAATATATGAGTAAGGACAAGACTTAGTGACAACCATATTACAAGAATATTTTAACAACCCTTAAACTAAATAAGTATGCCATTTAAGTGATCAAATACTATTCATAGTTAGACTAATGTTCATACCAACAGTATGTAATTATTGGTTTAGTTGCTTCCTTCGGGCAGCACGTTGCTTGTCAAATCGCATTTCCATTTCTTCCAAGACCTTTGGTGTGTATCTGACAACTAATTTGACAGAGCCTTGAGCTTGTTTTAGTAACTCAACAGCTTTTTCGTGATTTTCGCCTTCAACGCACTACAAACATTTTTTTCTTTTGGTCAAGAATAAGCATAATATAATATAAAAACTTAAGTTTAAAAAGCAACCAACCACTCCATTAACTGATAAAAGTTGATCCCCTCGCTTTAAACCACCATGTCTATCAGCTACACCACTGGGTATTATACGTGATATATAGATCGGGGAATTTTGTTCTCGGCCACCCATCACATTAAATCCAAGTCCTTCTTCTGTTTTGGGCAATTCCACCACTCTTGGATGGGCATGACCTTCACTAGCAGCAAACGCGGCAACGGTTGCTTTAGCTGTAGCTGATGCACGGACATCCTACCAAAAAAATATTATAATATAGGTCAGTACGGATGCAAATGATGTGTTAAATGTTATGCACCTGAGATCCTTGTATATCAACAGTTTCATAAACATGTTCGTACACTTCCCGTACCGATGCTAAGAAGTCGCTCTGCAATACTTTTTGCAACGCAGCTAGTTTGGTCACCGGCACTTCTCCAGCTAGACAAAATATGCAAATAGTTAAACTTTGATTTAATAAGAGAGATAAAATTGTGGATTTATTACTTTTTTGGAGCTTTTCCAACAGTTCGATGGCACGTTTGACATCTGTGAAAATTAAGTATATCAAAATAAATTTAAATCGATACCATCACAAATTAGAAAATTAAAACGGTTTGTTGACTAAGACTCGCCTTTCGCCAAGTTCAAAGGTTCTCCAGCCACAGCCATATTTTGTTGGTGTCTCGACGATTCAAAGGAGACACCGCGGTCCACGAAACGTTGGGAGTATATTACAATATTCCTAGTATTTACTATTTGGTTTTTTGTACTATGAGTACATTGACTATGAGTTCTCAAAAATAAAAGTAAATAGAAGCACAGAATAATTGATTGTGATTGTGATACTATGGTCTATGATGCACTGTGGTGTTATAGTACTATGTACGTGTGTGGTGTACTGAAAATGGGTGCCCAAAGCCATATAGTTATAGTAGGTTGTGACTTGTGTACTGTGTTGCCTGTTTTTCGTAAAATTAGCTAGTGATAAGAAACCTTGTATGCGTAGTTGCATTGCAAGATGTATCGGGCGCAAAGCAAGTAGATGGCGCCATAAAATCCATCCGAAAATACATAGATACTGCTTTCTTTCACTAATGAATCCAAATGTTTGAAAAACCAAGAAAATTCCCTATTTGATGAAACATTGAAACTATTTACAATTTATATACCATTATTTCATGATATCGACCTTATACACAATGTTGTTGAAAATACTTTTCAAAAGTATTTCAAATAGGTATTTAAATACTTCAACTAAAAAGTATTAAAATATTTATTTAAATACCTTTGCTAATAAATATTTAAATACAAATACAAATATATTCAAAAAGTATTTCAAATATTTTTAAATACATTTTTTAAGCTTTATTATTTTCTGATTCTTAAAACTAATTAGTTGTTTGATGTAATAATGTGTATTGAATGTAGAAGACCATATTGTAGGTTTATGCAGAATTCCTTTTTTACAAAAAAATTGTAAATGTAATTATGTTTAATTTATGTGATGAATTATAACTTATACAGTAATGCTATTTTAAAATGTATTACATTTAAGAGACATAACCTTTTCAAAATGGTCGTCAGTTAATAGTTATTCGCCCTCTACGTTTTGTGAGTATAGCGTTGCTTACACTAAAAATTCTTTCTACAGAAGCACTGCTTGGTAACGAAGTGTTGTGTTCTATTAAAACTTTTGTTTGAAAATTTTGTATTTAATATTTTTAAATACAAAATATAATGATAAGTATTTGAAATATACTTTAAATACTTCTGTCTAAAAGTATTTTAAATGTATTTAAAATACAGAAAACGTATTTAAATATTTAACAAGTGTGCAGTTATACATACCTACCCCAATGTGGTTAACGATGTTGTATCAGTTGATATCATTCATTTACTGGCATATGAACACAATTCTAAACCAAGGAAACTATTAAGATTAAGGCTATACAAAGAGATGGTGGGTATTAATATTGATTTCAATGAAATATGTCAACGCGAAAAGAGTCAGATAGGTACCTACTTGGAAACAACCAAATTACCAAGTTGATACAAGCTTAACAGAACACCAGAAAAAAGAAACACCAAATACTATATTTATAGTAATCTATTTAATGAACTTATACACACTTCGAATACCAGTACTCAGATCTATACTGATGCATCCAAAACCAAAAAGGGCATAAGACTCGCAGTAGTCCACCTTAATTCAACTTAACAGTTCAAACTTAATAATTTAAGCAGTATTTATACAGCCGAATACCTAGCACTATTTAAAGGAGCCCAATTAGCCTTAGAGATCAATAATACAAAAATAGATATATGTTCTGACTCACTCAGTAATTTAGTAAATCTGCAATCTAAAACATTACCTGAACTATTGGTTCTTTCAATTAATAACCTTCTTTTCAGATCAGACAAAAAGGGTTTCGAATTATATAGACCCTAGGTCATCGTAACATAAAGGGAAATGAGAAGGCAGATGAAGCTGCTAGAAATGCAATCAATAGTCCAGACAGAGACAGTGAGATAATTCCTTTTTCCTCACTGGTAGATATAAAAAGAAATATAAACAAATACTGTATAGATCTGCGGAACTCACATTGGCACACGACCACAAAAAATAAATTAAGAGAAATCAAGCACTCTGTTGAACTCTGGCCAAAATACACTGATCTAAACAGAAAAAATGAAGTAATTTTTAATCGACTCAGAATTGATCACACGAAACTCACACACCGACATCTTATGGCAAAGACAGATCCACCGACCACCCCTATGCCCAATATGTAATACAAACTACTCCATCAAACGTATCATCATACACTGCCCGTCTGCCCTAACTTCAATGGACAGTGATGCAATTGGTCCATTTTAAAACCTCCAAAATATAATTTTATACTTAAAAAAAAATTAAATTGCATAATAGCATATGATCTTCAATGTTAAAATGTAACACCTGTAAAGCTAATAACCTGTGTAGTTGATGCTTAACCGATAAAGAAAAAAAAATATGTATGATAATAATGTAGTTAGTAATTTTGACTAGGCACATATTTGTTGTACACTCCGTAAACATAATTATAGTTTACAATAGTGGCCTGACGAATACAGGTGTCGTTGAAAGGAAGAGAAAGAAAGTGTACTTTTTGAAATGAGCTTGAATACCTTTGAATGTATCATTTCAATTTAGTCACTTTAAACTTAAATTATAAACTATTACTCTGTATTAAAATATTTAACTCAGAGAATTATTCCAAGTGTTTAGATCGTCTAGTTAAATTACATCTGAATATGGGTTGTTCGGGGCTCTCCTATAATATAGCCCGAAGATAGGCTTACCCTCTACTTCCCCTATAACAGCCCCTCGATACGAATATCGTTCCCACGGATGCTACGTCCACCTGTAATCTTCCCGGAAATGTATACGGCCTACGGCTTGAAAGAGTGCGCTTTCTGTGTGGCTGCATTTCCGTCGAAATATATTATTATATCTGTATGTATTTATTCTCCTATATCTGCTGCGTAATTTTCTAAGTATTATTATAATATTCGATTTTGTATATTGTGTTCTTATCACTCACTGTTGTACCCGACCCCACACGAGTTACTTTATTATAATATGCCTATAATGTTTATTCAGTTGTTATCATTCTTGGGGTATTTACTCCTGACATCTGGAATGTTGATATTACAAATGATTAGGTACTTACTAAAGCCTATAAGAATTTATACTCTACTTAACATACTGCTTCCACCCCCCGAGGGTCGAAGTTAATTGTTGTATATGAATGTAATGTAAATTACATTATTATTAAGAAAGCGGGACGCCGGTCCATATAGCAGACAGCAGTAATATGTTATATTATACTTGGCTAACCCTAACACAAGGCTACCTAGTACCTTATGAGACAAGAAGAACCAGGTCTATGCTTAATTCATGGGGATGCTCTAAGCATCTAACCGTCAAAGGTCAAACGTGTCCTACTCTTCTGCCACAACTATGCAGCTACCGAAACAACAATCTTAATCTTAAATATACTTGAACTCCTACATAGGACCTGACCAAGAAAATCATTAAATTCTTAAAAACAATAAATGATAAAGTTTTATCAATTTTTTTTTCTTTCATCTTGATAATTTTGTATATGTAGACCTATTCTAACATATTTTCTACTGCAAAATTCCATACTGTTATATTTAGTTTCATGATATAAACTTATTTATTACTTCTGTAAATATTGTAAGCCAATAACTTTAGTAGTCAAGGCTCTAATAAATAAAAAAATAAAAAATGGCCAACGATAAGAGAGCCAAGAACCGCACAATAAATTAAAAATATGTAAGAGCGAAGAACAGAAATAAAAGGTTCTCAATTATCGTGAGATAAAGCAATAAAATGTGTAGAATGCAAACAATATAGCAACATAATGTCAGATTAAATTTTGCCTTCATGATGTTGATGTAGCACCTATAGTATTATATTATAGGCAGTAAATGTATTTTGATAAGACTCGAGTCGTATGATTTTATGACGCGAGCGGCGGTTTAGTCGCCCACATAAAAATATGTCTACGGTACACACTACTACATGAGTCACTAGTGTAGATTGTAAATAACTTTAAATAAACTATTAAAAAAAATTGCCAAATTAATTTCAAACCAACTGAAAAAAATTAAAAAGTAAAAAGTATATAAAAAAATATAAGTATATTGATTCGAGAGAGAAATGTCTCAGTCTACGGAGGGAAATATTCAGTACCACTAATATTCGAGAGGTGGTGGGGGCACGGGTGGAAACGTCCAAATACCAATAAATAAGGATAAAGGAACCCAGATTTACATTTACATTAAATTACATTATTTACATTATAATTGTAGTAGTAGTGTAAAAAACTAATTTTAAAACTTTTCTTTGGTAAATAATTATTGAAATGACTAATGAGGTTCGGGTAATTAGGCATTCAATCACAATGTACACGTCTTGCCCAGTTGCATTACACTAAAGTAGGTAACTGAGGGTATTTAAAAATAAATAGTTGATGTTAAAAAAAAAACAAGATTCCACAAAAATAATGATTGATAAATTATTGAAGAAATGTTATAAACTTATAAAGTTACGTCTTATAATAAAAATTATAGCAAAGAATGAAAATTAAAATGTACAAGAATTTTTTTCTTGCAATACATTTACCAAGTACCTATTCAAAGATAAAATGAATATGCTAAGGAAACCAAATATTCTCTAACCCCGGAAATATTCTCAAATATGCAACAAAAACTTTTTCTTGTAAATTGTATTGAACAAAATACAAATAGCCCACATTTTTTACGCTCATAAAACTGTGTATTATAATCATAAACCTTAAACCACAGAAATATAGTATTAGATAGCCTTAATAGTTAATATATTGAGGCTCTCTGCACATAATAGTATAAGGTCATAACTCATAGGTTATTCCTATCATGCTCATTGCGTACCTATACTTAGTAGTTATCTTAGTTCACGGTTCATGGTTATGACTACCACGGACTAATGGTTATTGTGTGATATTTATATCTTAATCCGTGGATATTAAGTAGAAAAACTACTGGGTATGGACTAAATTATACTTATATTATAATTATATTATCAATTGACTTAGATTGAGTGTATCTACAATACAGTCTGTTACTCCGTCGCACTGTTGTCCGAGTCCTATGATGAAATTAAACTTAAAAATCCGTCTCAAAATGATAATACCAGAATCACAGCGCATGCGCACAATTGGCGGTGCGCCGGTTCATCATTCCTGTATATTTAGACGCTTCTGTGATTGGATTAGATTTTTGTTATTGTTATTATTCTGTTTTTTAGGTTGTGAGTTGTAACTTGTGGCATACAGGCGCACTAGTGTTGTGCCGTTGTGGTCACTTGTGGAAATTATTGTGGAATGTGGATTATGAGCATCGACAATGGGCTTTTTTGTAACGGGTTCAGTTCAGGATAGCGTGATTTCAATTCATACTTTCGTAATTAATTATTCATACAACCTTTGTGAGTGGTGTCTGTCGTTTGACAGATTTTACTCACGCTTTTAGTTATTGCAATAATATTGGGCATTGCCCTTATTATTATAGTGTGGTGTTTTTATTACTTTGTTTTTTAATTTAGAAAAGAACTATATTGTTATCATCGTCTACGTAACAAGTGCACTTGAGCCGTTTTTGTCCATTCCATTACTATAGGTAATTGTTTGAGTAAATATTAGGTAATTAAGTACATATCAATGTTACATTAACTGCATTGTGTTCAGGTGTTTTACACACACACATTTAAAAGTTAGTGTTTTGACGTAAGTTGTTGTTGATTATTTTATGTTAATAATTAAGGGGTATTTTTGTTTTAAAAAAACATAAATTGTATCCAGGCTATGTGGGGACATTTGAGTTTTTATTTACAAATTACTTTGGTGACTGGTGTGGGCCAGTATTAAAAACAGTTATTTTCTTTTTGATTTTTATTGCTCTAATGAAAAAATGTATATGACTTCACTTTAAAAAAAAAAATTGTTTTATTATTAACTGAGTAATCTAAATATTATATTTTCATAATATCAATTCTAAAATTTTAACCAACAATTATTGAACTAAAAGTTTCTATTAAAAATGTTTTTTGATTCTTATTTTTCCATTTATTGTAAATAGGTATTTAATGGAATACACTTTTCTTTAGATAATTTGAATATGTTTTAACTTTCATTTAATTATTAAATTTAAAAATAAACCTATTAATGTACAAAAAACAACACATTTTTAGTTATTTCAGAGTTTATCTTATTATAACATCTATTTTTTTTAATAATTGAGATGATTTATTTATCTTGTTATCAATATAAAAAAAAATGTATAGGTACCTAATCAATATTTAGTATTCTCCTTCATATTCATACACAAATGTTGAAAGTTCAATAATGTTTTTGACGTTCCAATTAAAATATATTTTAATATTATATTATTAAAAGTTTTAGTCTCACATAAATTCATCTAAAAATTAAAAAAAAAATTTTCCTACAGATATCTCACAATGGAAGAAACTGTTGTCGATTCATCTGACACTAGAATCAGCCAGCCTGCTGTTGGTGAATGGAAAAATGATGAAAATATTTCCCATAATGATAACTATGAGCAGAATATAGTAGAAACACTAAATGATACCACTTTAAATGATAATTCCGTGTATGAAAATGCTGTTATAGAAACACAAGAAAATAACTGTGACTTCTCTAATAACGAAAACACACAAAATACGTGGGTTACTCAAACTGAACCAAAAAATCATTATGGTAATAAAAATAACTCTGGATATCGTAAGGGACCGGGAGGATTTAATAAATCAAACAATGGTAATAATTCTCATGAAAACTCATACAGCTATGATTCCACTTCAAATAATTTTTCAAATAATGGACATGTACGTGGCCGTGGTCGTGGTCGTGGTCGAGGTCGAGGTCGAGGTTTCATTAAAAGATTTGATGAAGAAAATGAATCATTTAGGGATGAATATGGCTCTGGTATTGATAATCATGGTGGTAACACTGCCCCGGGTCATCGAGGTCGCGGACGAGGGTTTAATCGTGGTAGAGGCGGAAGGCGTGATCAATCAGGATCAGGTGGCTGGTATGGGAATAGTGAAGATGGTCATAAAAAAAATGAAAATGATAAACCAACTATTCCAAAAGCAGCTTACATTCCTCCTGATATTGAAAATGAAGAGTCTATTGCTGGAATTGAGGCAGGGCTTAATTTTGACAAGTATAAAACTATTGAAGTAAAAGTGAGTGGAACTAACCCTCCAAAAAGTATAACATCATTTCCTAGTTCTGGTTTGCGCACTATTTTACTAGACAACTTATCTAACTGTAATTTCTCCACACCAACTCCAGTACAAAATTATGCAATACCTATTATAATTGAAGGCAGAGATTTGATGGCCAGTGCTCAGACTGGTTCTGGAAAAACTGTAAGTTAATTTAATTTAATTTTAAATACTTGACAAATGTTTAAAGTATTGATTGTTTATAGGCAGCATATGTCTTACCTATTTTACATAATTTGCTGAAGCAACCAACACAATTAGTTTATGATGAACATCATTGTGAACCGCATGTAGTTATTATTGCACCTACAAGAGAGTTAGTTTCACAAATTAGTGAATGTGTATGGAAATTTAGTAAAGGAACTGATATTAGAAATGGACTACTGTATGGAGGTACCTCTACTAATCACCAAAAATCTAAACTCCTTCAGGTAAAGTAATTTTAAATAGTTTAATTATTAAAAAATAAATCCACTCCTTCAAACTTATATATTTTTAATTATGACAAATTTCTCCACACAGAGAGGAGTTCATATATTAACTGCTACTCCAGGACGTCTGAATGATTTTGTTGAAAAAGGTATTGTGACTTTCTCATCAGTTAAGTTTTTTGTTTTGGATGAAGCAGATAGAATGTTGGATATGGGATTCAAACCTGATATAGAAAAAGTATTAACAAATTCGACTATGACTTCCTTAGTAAGTTTTCTTTGTTATTCACTACATGTGTATTGTGTATGATGCCTGATAATTTGAGCTTCCCGCTAGGCATATTTCCTGACTAAAGGATAAATGATAATTTATATACGCTATGTCTAAATGACGGAGCGTAGTCGGTGAGATTTAAAATAGCCAACCAGTATCAATAACTTACATACAGGAATAAATAAATTAAAACTATATAATATTTTGGAATAATGTATAATGATATATTTGATTTTGTGATATAAACTTGTACCTGAATAATAAAACACTTAAACTAAAAAAAAAAGTATTCATACATAGGAGATACTTTTATTACATTTCAAGCTTTTTGTCCAAGAAATACAATTTTGACTAAAAATAAGTATTATTAAATTTATATAAACATACACGATTAAATGTAATAATATTGTATGAAACTTGCTTAGATACATTTGGCTATCTGTTTGTTTATTTTTAAGCCTATATATATATTTTTTTATCAAAACAATCCAAATAACTGTCTTCAAAATCAGTGCAGTTTACATTAACAGTGTTTAAGAAGTGATAAATCCATGGGAATGTAATTTTTCATGGAGAACACTGCAGAATAAGCTATGTTTATTAACAATAAATAATACCTATTATGTACAATTTGGTGATGCGACTATGACAGAAGTTTTAATGAGTTTAATTTTTATAGGAATCAAGACAGACAGTTATGTTTTCTGCTACATTCGCAAGTGAAATACAACATATGGCCACTTCTTATTTGAAACCAGATTATATATTTGTAGCTGTTGGGGAAATAGGAGGAGCGTGTAAAGATGTTGTTCAAACAGTAATGGAAGTCACAAAGTTTAAAAAAAAAAATGCATTACTTGAAGTACTTAAAGAAATGGGTATGCTTACTAATGTTAAATGATAAATAATTTATTATAAATCAAAATATTAAAACATGTATGCAATTATTTATGTGTTTTAAGCTTATACAGTTATTATAACCAATTTTATGATTATTATTTTAGACAATTGTCAAGGTACAATAGTGTTTGTTGAAAGAAAAAAAGTTGCAGATTATACAGCTGCATATTTAAGTGAAGTGGATTTCCCTACTACAAGTATTCATGGAGCACGTGAGCAACCGGAACGAGAACAAGCATTAAGAGATTTCAAAACAAATAAAATGCAAATTTTAGTGGCCACTGCTGTTGCAGCTCGTGGATTAGGTATTTACTTTAAATGATTATTTTGATATTATAGAATATGATTGGTAATGTTTATTTTTACTTGAATTACCAGACATAAAAGGTGTGAATTATGTAGTGAACTTTGATTTACCAAAAACAATTGATGAGTATGTCCATAGGATTGGGCGTACCGGTAGATTAGGAAATGCTGGTAAAGCTATTTCATTCTTCGACCCTGAATTTGATGGTCCACTAGCTCCTGAATTAATTAGAATTCTCAAACAAGTAAGTTTCCATTAATACTAATTCTTAAAAAATCAATTAAAAATGATAAATATTTTTATTGTATTTAATTAAATTAATTATAATACCCTAATAACTATACTCTATACAGCGTTATAACACACCATGCTCTACAAAAATTGATTTTTCTGCGCATTCCTATGTGACACCCTGCCATTGATGAATTGGTCTCGATAGCAGGCTGTTGAGTGGGTATGCACAGAAATGGCGTGTTCTTTTGCTGAAAAGAGCATATATTTGCTATTAAATTGTGCTTAACTTTCACCATGGCATCATATAAAATACTTAAAACAAATTAATAATATTAAAAATTAATGATATTTATAAAATTCCAAATATAAAATAATAATAATGTATAACAATAATAATATGTTTAAACTATACATTTTAGGCAGATCAAGAAGTACCATCATTTCTAAATGATGCTGCTGAACGTATTCTAGCTTCTCCAGCTATTGACAATTTCAACGATATAAGAATGGTAACATAAAAATAAATATTAACTATCCAGTTGTCTTATTATTTTCAGAAATAAAAATACTATATTATTTGTTTGTTTTCTAATAGTCTTTTAGTCCATAAGATATATACACCAAAATAACAAAATGCTTAAATTCTGTTAATTTTAATTTTTAATTCTTTTAGAATGTTGATGTCACATCTGACCTGGTTGCTACTGAAGCAGAAGAAGAAGAACAGTGGTAGATCAATTGAGTAATTAAGGATTTAGATATACAAGAGTATAAATACAGAGCAATTCTAAAAATATGAATCGGTTAATAGTATTAAAATTCAAAAATCTAAATTTGTTATAACTTTTAAACATGGTTCGGGACTTAAAGCATTTGTTTTTTTATTTGGCTCGACTTATAATCTGGCAAAGGAGCAGAGTACTGTGGAAATGTATGTCATGTCAATATGATTTTAAATATGAAATTTCAAATAAAATAGTTTTTAAAAAATATATTTTCTACTTTGAGATAACAGACTGACATCAAACATTGACAAAAACCAAATAATTTTCTAACCTAATTTTTTCATCAATGTATTTTTGATAGAATTTTGCCTTTGAACTCTGTTACCTTTTTTTAGTAGTAATACCCAACTCGTTTTTGTTTATTTTTGCTATCTGTTATGTTTGTCACGGTTGGCCACCCCGGGCAATATGAATATATCAATGCTATAACATATGATTATTTGATTCTCGAGGCACGGTTTGCTGTATTGTTTTTATATTAATCTACAAATTTAAAACTGGAAAGACATAGTTAGTGATATTTTAAAGCTACATATTTGATTTCGGGTCTGACATTTTTTCCATGGATGTGGGCATGTTTTATATTATAAAATATTTAATTTTTAACCCTATTTATTTATAGTTTGGCTGGGAGCAGGGTAAAATTTTTAGTTTGATTTTATTGCCTATTTAAATGTTTTAAAATGAGTGCTTATAATGAAGTTTGTAATCTTTTATTTTCATAATTTTAGTTATCAGTTCCGAACCCTGGTTACAAAATATAACAACAATATTATGTACTAATAATGCTCTTAGTTGACATTTTAGTTTATACTATTTAGACACATTTAAAAGTAGTGAATAATTTTTTAACTGGTTGAGATGTCATCATTTTTAGCAGAATCTCATTAATAATAGTTCAAAAAAAAGTTAAGATTCTTTAAGATATTGACTGATGCTCATTAAAAAAACTTAATTTAATATTTTTATAAAAACCAATTTGCAGTAGTTCTGTTTAATAAATAAATAAATTAAACATTCTACAATTTATTGTAGACTGACAGTTTAAAAATGTATTAAGTATCATCTATTTTATTGAAATATGCTTTTTTTCTGCTGAAAGAGCTAATTGTTTTTGTTACGAATCTTACAAATTTTATTTCATGGGACCAACTAATATTCCTTATGTTTTTATGTATCTACTAGAATTATTTGAAACTCAACCACATAAAAATACACATATTTAATTTCAATGTCAAAATTATACAACTATTTTCAGTATATGATTTAATAGATTAAAATATACATTTAACTTGACATTTTTTTAAATACTCAGACCAAACTAAGTATGTATTTAGATTTTTATAATTCTATTTTATGTTATTTTATTACTGACACTAAATAATTGTGATTTATTTTTGTATTGATAACTGTAAAACTAATTGTGTAATATTTATTTTAATATTTTATTATCAAATGCTGAAAGCCATCGTCTACAAATAATTCATATACAAATGTATTGCTGATACTAATTGTTTGTTACAAATTCATATTAGTCAATTAATTTAAGTACAAATTTGAATTAACCACAACCCTTAAACTTATTATAGATAAGTAAGAAATTGAAAGACAAATACACACTCTCTAGAGTTAACAGAAATGATTCTTTGCCATAGGTTCATATTTACTTAATACTTATTAATACTGATTTATTAATGTTAGGTAATTTCTAATTAGTAATGGTTTTATTTATTTTATTATACTAACTAAGTACTAAATATTATTTTAAACTAGTTGTGATAATAGTGTGGATACTAATTAGTAATTACTACTTAATGTTGGAATGGAGTATTTTGATACCATTAGGCCATTAATTCTATAAAATGTTAAAAGTTGACTACCATTTTACAATTGAGGGAGAGTTTCTTGAAATTGGAATTGATTAATTAATAATTATAACTGTAATTATCGAAGACGACAAGTATTATGTGTAATAGCATTTTGCTTTGGTTAAATTCTTCAGTAGTTCCTTGTATGTAACCCAGTAGTGTAAGTCTTAATGTCTGGGTTTAATTTATTTTTCAAATATTTTATTTTGTAGTGTGCCATTTCATTGGAAACCTAATCACATTCATAATTTGTAGTTGTATTTTTCATATTATAATTGGTTATGAAGAAAAAAATATTATTATTTAGGGGCTTGAGTAATTTTTATGAGGCCATAACTCTTCACTAATACTCACATGAATGATGAGTACATGACTATACAGTTCTTAGATCTAGACTTACTAGTGCTATTAGAAAATGATATAAGTTTTTTTAGTTTATGATAGATTATGTTAACTAATAATATTTAGATTTAAATGTATCTATTGAAATTAATTTGATTGGAATCATTAAGTCCTTAAAATAAAAACCGAAATTAAAATAACAATTACTGTATTGCAGCGCCTGGTCCATTATAAAAATAAGATTTTTGATTTGTAATAATATTTAACATATATTATCAAGACTTAGTTTTATCATCATAACTTATGTATTTTATTTTTTACAGAGTAATAATTAAAAGTGTATTTTCACATATTGCAATACAAATTAAAAATACTTCTTTAATTTATAGATAGTTTTTTTCTAAATTATTAATGTAGTTATTTATTAATATCTAAAATTATAAAAAGTTATAAAAGGCATAATAATTGATAATCATAATTCATATTATATATTTTATACAATGTTGAAGTTTTCATTTGGTGTTCTATTTTTTAAAAATTGAAGCAATATTTATTTTATGTATTGTTATTAATTATTATAAGTATCTACTTATCTTTAAAAAAATAATTATTATGTTATAATATGTTGCTTAATGCTTTATAACTGTGGTAATCGCAAAACATATTCCAAACATATTTACAGTTTAGTATTGTTTAATTATTAATACATTTACAATTTATTTATGTGATTGCAATTTATATATTTATATACAGCTAATAACTGACATTTAAAATTGTTAAGAATAAACTTATACTTATTTTATTAAAGTTTTAATATTTATTTTGTTCTTTGTTTTAATTTCAAAGTCACTGGTAACTTAATATCAATTAAGTAAGTATGAACTATATTATATTAAAATAATTTACTTACGAAGAATGTTATTTTTAATAATACCTATGAGTTTGGTGGGTACCTTCAACTTATGTGACTTGAAACTATCTGATTTCTTTTTAATCAAATTGAATCAATATAATTATCAATTATTATATTTCAGAGATTTAAAAATAGGTTGAACTGTTATTGAGAATCTTTGCTTGTTTGTGATACTAATTATTCTCTTAAATTAGGTGATTTATCTTACAAGTTACAACATTGAAAACAAAAATATAAAGGTGAGTACTCGGGTACCGCTCTGGCTCTGCTGTATATTAGATGTCAAATAATGTGTTAAATTTTTAATTGAAGTATTTAAAATATTTTTTAAGAAAAATAATTCTGAGCGAAGACTAAGTACCTATATTTAATGATATTATTGCTATTATTTTATTATTAGTAATCCAGTGGGTTGAATTAAGTTTTGCCAAAAACATAGAATTTGAAAATGTCATTGTGTGTATTAAATATAATAATGGTATTTAAAAGTTTCAAATATCTAAATATCCACTAATAATATTTTTAAATTGCAATTAAAATTATTATTCTTCATTTAAATATCTAATTTTGTTTAAATCTGTGTTAATACTCGTATATGTTTTTAATTTTTTAGTTACAGTATGAACTAATTATGAGAAATCTTGTTATTTTCAATTTTAAGGTAAAATAATTGAATATTATTATAGTATTATTATTTTTTTTTTTTACAAGTTGATTATCAAATTTTCGCGATTTTGATGAATTGTATCAATGTTTAAACTTAAAATGTTTATAAAAAAATTTTAGCCAGGCATCTATAATGTATTTTAGTTGTTGTTATAAATAATGTACATATAAAGAACCTTGAATTCGATTTTCAAGCTTTTCTTTTTTCCTATATTTAAAGAAAAAAAATTTGAAATGTTTTTAATAGGTTGCTAAGAAAACTTCGAAATATTTTTAATTTTGTTATGTTCAGAAAAAATGACATTTTATCATGAAATAAAATAAATATTTGGTAATAATTACAAGTATCCACAGACCACAGTTATTGATTTTGAAATGATACATAATGACAAACAAATAAATACAATTGTTGATTATTTTGTATGACTTGCTTGAAAACTTTGACCAGCTATCCCTGTAAGCCTTAAGGTAATCTATAGAGGACCCATAAATCATAATTAATTATTTGTTAAAAATCAAATCATTATTGAGAGTAATTTTTTTTTTATTATGTTTTTACTTCTGATTTCTGATCGTTGATTGTTCGTTTTTGAAGTATAATCTGGAGATTACTTATAGACATATTATACAATTAAATTAACATTTAAATTCGATTTAATTTGTTTGTTTCTTAAAATGTAGGCTCTTGCCGATCCCGTCCTAATTTTTATTCTTTTTTTTAACTCTGTGTAGTCGAATCAATTATTTTAATAGCAATAATATCATAAAATATATACTTTATAATGTAGGCAGACAGATCGCATTCGCTCAGAATCGTTTTTGCTCGATGATTTTTTCATTTGAATTCAAAGGTAATACATAAATTACAGACTACAGTGACGCACTCGAAACCTACTTACAATACAGCAGAGCGGTAGTACCCATTGGCTCACTTAAAAAAAATATATTTATTAGAAAAAGTAATAATAGTATAAACGGTACATCATAGGCCTGACTAGATTCTATCCTCAGCTGCATAGCTATTAACAGGCACTACCATCGAAAATACATTTTAACTAAAACTGCAGCCGCTGACCACCGAAACTATAGAAAAAGTAGTAACCGTCTATGCGACCCTGGTACCCCGAGCCTATCTTCCGATCGTATAACGCATTATAAGTAAGTCAGCGATTTTACCATCCCAATCAACGCAGACGAATAAAAAACAATTATTATTATTATTGTTTGTGACGTTAATTGTTGAATATTTGATGATAGCATGCCTCCGCGGTGTCACTAATGTAGGTACCGACGTACCTAACCTAAACATGTCTATAGACTACGATTCGAATAAGTATTAACTACTTACAATCGATCGATTATGATTAATAAGAATAAAGAAATAATACATAATATGAATATACGATAACACTACTACACTACCACGACAGTAGTTCGAATAATTAGGCGTAATATTATAAATTATAATGGTGTATAATTCAGAGCGTAGCGAAGTATTGGTTTTACAATGATGTGTATTATTCTCATAATTTTAACTTCAAATGCTTGTAAAAATAAAATCGTGGCAATATTAATTATTTAATATTTTTAAATAGATAGGTGTAATAATAACATATGAAGAACCGTATGCTTACATAGAACCTTTTTTTAAATTTTCATTTAACGCACTACTTTAATGAACCAAAAAAGCCCTACATTCAAGGCCATATTTTTTTAAAGCTTCTCTCCCCAATGAAATATTTAGGTATATATATTTTTTAAAAGTCTGAATTATCTATTTAAAATCAATAATCTATATTCCACAGTATTTTCAGCAGCTTTAAAGTTTAAATTTAATTCCAGTAACATTATTCATGGATTACACCACCTAGCTACAAGGCAACAAATAATACAATAGTATCTAGAATTATGCGAACCGTTTACTGTCACTCGTCGACTGTCTTTAGTCTTTCTAGTACCTATAGATCAGCGGTTCCCAACCTTTTTCATTCTACGCCCCCTTGTAAATTTACTGAAATCTCATTACCCCCCTTAAATTAGAGTTTAGGCGAATTTTTTTCTGTTGAGATCTACAAATAAAACATACAAATTAACTATTTATTATACAATACACAGCTATTTACTTTTATTATTTTCATCATTTTAAAAATGTGTTATAAATCAACTAACCAAGTAATAATATTAAGTATAAGAAAAAAAAATTGAATATAAAAACAAAAATATTAACATAAAGTATAAATAATTTCTCGGTCTATCGACTTTATCGTTATACCTAATATATAATTGTTATCGATGCCCGATAATCTGAAAACTAATATAGTGATTTCAATTTTATACATTGTAAAATAACATAATTCTTTTCGTAATTCCATCATCACTATATTCCCCCAGAGCAGACTCTACCCCCCCCCCCGACTGGGAACCGCTGCTATAGGTTTTTCAGAAGTCGAGAAATCAATTCGACAATACCTACATGTTATTAATAAAATAAAGATACTACCAAATTTGGTCGAACATATATTTATTAGTAAATAGTAACTATAATAATATATAAAAGACATTAAAAAAAAAAAAAATAAAAGTTGAAATCCACCTAGCTCAAAACTCGGTTGACCGGCGTCTTTTGAAAATTGAATGGACACCTTAGGCTGCCATCCGTAGATACGCCTATGAGGCTATACAATACCCTAATACTTACATTTTTAGTGATACCTCTAATAATAACTCAGGTTATTCAGACGATTATGTTATGTGTCTATGTCACAAACATCATAGTAAATATTTTACAATTCATTCATAGATTATAATTATGTGTGTGTAATGATTTTTTTTTAAAAGAATTCAAAACAGTTTTTTCAAATTTATTTATGCTGCTAAAAATTGTTGACAATTGTAGTTACACTTTCAGTATTAAACTGCTCACCCAAAGAATTCTTAACTTAAACTAATAGTAAAAACACGATTAAGAAACATTGTGAGTGAAAACCGATTGGAAGATTTCCTGACATTGGCCGTGAATTAGACATAATAGTAATAAATATAGATACTGTTATTGGTAAATTTGCTTAAAAAATGATTGTCTTAATTAAAGCTCTGAACTATTAAACGAGCAACACATTTAATACTTTGATAGTTTGATCTAAACATTTATAAAACTATAATTTAATAGCTGTTATAGTATCATAACATTATCTTATTGTGATCAAATTATATATTTACTATTGTCCTTTGAAATAATACCTCTGATTAGTAATTCGATTTAGGGGTTGATATAGACTCAATAGAGGCTTCCCCCACGAGTGTTCTCTTGCAATTTTTAGGGGTAAGTGGTGCGTATTACATAATATTTTACTTTGTGCTCAAAAAAAAAAATATATCAGTAAGGTATAGCAAATCAAATTTATTTTTTACCTGTTAAATACCTTGCTTATATACAGGAAGTCATAAAAATAAGAAAACAACATTAAGACTAACTGTTAATATTATTTTCTTTGTTTTATTTCGGTAGTTCAGTGCAATACACAGTGCATAATATATTATTTATTATAATTATGTCGAAGAAACAGTTATAATATGAATTAAAGATTCAAATAAGAACAATAAAACAGGATATATACATAAATGTACCTGTACTAATTTATAAGTTCCGTGAGCTGGAACTATGTAAAATTATGGTAAAACATTATGATAAATATTACGGGATCATTATTGTTTCATGGTCATTGTTAATGAAAATTAAAATCATGAACGGATGAACATTTTGTAGATCAGCAAAAATTTTATAATTTTAAAACGTTTAAAATAACCAAAGATTATACATTAAGTCAATACAACAGAGGTATTATGTTAAAATAATAAATATATATATACATTATACATATTACATACACATATTGTATAAAAATACATGTATATTTTTACCTACATAATATTATATTCATGCGCAAATGTTTAGGAATACCGACTAATTAATATCAATAAAATTAGTTTACTAATAATCTGTACAACTAAAACTAATATATTATTTATTATTATAAATAAGTAGGAGTACCTACATTAAAATATTGTAATCTGTAGTAGGCATCGGTTCGAGTAGATTTTATTTATGCGATCTGCTTAATAATTAGGATTTACTTACCTATTACTGTGAATTGTTGTGTTATTCACTTGAATTCGGGGGACTGATTAGTGCTGTTTTATTAATTTTACTTACTGAATTGTAAGAGTATATATTCTATAGCAGGGGTGGCCAACGATAACTTAGTCACGAGCCGCGCGATATAATGAACAATAATATGAGCAGAAAATGGAATTATATACCTATAACTATTATCTTAGTAAAAATGTTAAGACGTGAGCCGTGGTTTGGCCACCCCTGCCCCATAGTTATTCAGCCATATACCTATAGTTTTATATGAATGTATTAATGCATTTTACTTTACCATACTGGCTACTGCAGACTAAGAAGACTGCGTTTAAAAATATATAGGTTATACTGAAGCTTAAATTACTACACAAATTGTTTTGATTTAAAATAAAGTTTTGTTTCTTCTTCTATGTTTTTAACTATGATTTATTTAGAATTTACGTTAGGAAAATTATCCGGACCCCTCTGATGAAAAATTCCTTAATACGCAACTGCTCAAGTATATCGATAGGTATAGAATCACATTTTGATTTAACACATTGTTCGATGTAAATAGTTATTATGCTCGCGAATCGTTATTTTATATAAAATCCAATATTTCAAATATATTACCTAAAATATCTTATACATTTTTTATTAACACCTTTCATTTTGGTATTTTTGAAGTATTTGCATTTGGAGTGATCTTGGTATTGTTTTGAACGCTAGTCGAATTACCGGTCGTAGCAATATCTATGCTCACGGAGGGCGTGGGCGATACTTCGTCCTGAGTCGATACTTCTGTCCAACTTGTCATGAACTGATGAGTGTTGATGTTGTTTTTTATACTCTCGTAGTAACTGAAAAACAATCGTTGTTTCACAATAAAAAACAAAATTATTTATCTCTAAAAAAATGTTCAAACGGAACCGTCTATTTTAATATCCATTGAATCTCTAATTATGTAACAACCGAATATGTGTAATAGCTAATAATTGTATAAAAGTAGCAAGGTATTAAGTGGGCATATGGGTTGGATCTAAAATCACTAGATGAGCTATTATTTATGTTTGTTCCATTTGGCATTTACCTATAATACCTAACCTACATAATTTACCAAGTGATTCGTTTAAAGTAAAATACTGATTATTATATTATTTATACCATCATTTATAGGTACCTACTAGCTGTATTACCCAGAGCTGTTCAGGGATAAATAAAAATGACTACCATAATTATGACTGTAAGTTTCTCGGTTCATTCCTGCGCTAAACAGTTTTTAGCTTTTTGCTATGTTTTAGAGTAAGGAAACAACACAATATGCGGGTATAGCGTCCTCTTAACAATCGAATAAGGGGAACCGCTCTGCTGTTAAATAGGGGTCAAAAGTACTTCATTAGCTGTTATTGAGAAGGTTACTGTAATGTATGTGTTCAACTTGAATTCAATGATAAATCATTGCATACGAAAAATGATTTTGAGCGAATGTGGCTACAACAGTCTTTCTTTTTGGTATAGTTGTTCTTTGATATTGCTTTTAAAGTAATTTATTACTCTATAATTATATTTATATTGTTTATTACTCTCATGAACTTTAGAGACAATATGTAGCTTCACCGTGGAATGGTGTGAATAAATACGTGGTCTAAATAGTTGAAAGTATAAATATTTATAATTATATATTATATATAAATGTTTTGAAAATGTAATTATGAATATAAAATATAATAATACACTTAAAAGTTTCAAGTATCATCAGTATAAATAGCTCAAAAGAGTAAAAATATAAAAATGATACCATGCTTAAAGAATGCTGATATAAATTTTTGGTGAAAATTTCAGGGATTTATCTATGAGGTTATTAGTTTTAGAATTATAACAGAATAAGAAAATCGATTTTGTTGAACAATGAACAATGGTTTCAAATAAAGATTCTCGTTTTCCTCTAATTTTTTTTTTTTGTTTTTTCCAATTGCTAAGAAGATTACTTGGGATTTTTTATTTTGACCTCCCAAAAATAACGACTAGATTCACTTTCTGAAATGAAAACATTTTTCTCCTAGATTGCTCCACTCAAAACATAAAAATATGCTATTAAAATCAAAAGTATGTTTTTAAACTAAAAAAATGTCTAAATATGCATGAAAGTTGTTGTTCTAACTATTATATTATTATAAAACATACCCGTTGGACGGTGGTTTGTTCTGTGTTTGTTGTTGTTGACCGTACCGAGTGGATGACTGTTGATGCTGCTGTTGTGGAGACCGATACTGCTGTTCGTACCTCATGGATGACGGCGGCATTGGCTGTTGCTGTTCGATTCGCGTGTGCATCGGCATGTACTCTTCGTACCGCATAGGCTTTTGGGGCGGTTCGTACCGCATGTTCTGCTGCACCATCGGCTTGCTGCGCTCGTCGTACCGCATCGTTATTGGCTGCTGATCGTGGTACGGTTTCGGATCGACGTCGATGATGGTGAACCTCGGTGGCGGAGCGAGTGGTGGTGAGCCGTTCTGCTGCCGATCTCCCCTTACATCGATCACTCCAGAATGGACGACAGCCACTTCCGGGTACTTGTCGTTGTTGTATAAGTTGTTGTCTCGGCCACCGCCTCCGCCGCCACTTCTGTAGGGCTTTTGCAACGGCACTTCCACTAGATCCTTATCCCACGATGAGCCCCTGTTGTCCCACGACGAACCCCTGTTGTCCCACGAGTTGCCGCCGTCCCCTCCGAGTGGCTCTCTGTCCCACGAGCCACCACCCCTGTTGAGCGGTTCCCTGTCCCACGAGCCACCACCCCTGTTGAGCGGTTCCCTGTCCCACGAGAACGACGGTGAACCTCTGTTGTTGTTGCTGAACGACGCACGGTCTTTGTCCCACGATGACGAGGACCAGCTCTTGTAGAATGGTTCGGCCCACGACGCGAACTTGGACGTTAGCTCGTTGGGCCGGTAATACGAGTCGCGGAACTCGGCCGGTTCGTCATATCTGCTGTTGTATAAGGCCGTCGACTTGGTCGTGACCGACGTGACGCCGTTGCCACCGACACTGACTCCACCGCCCCCCTGGCCACCTCCACCACCGCGGTTGTAGGCGTTTTCGTAGGACGTCAATCGGCTGCGTTGCAAGCCATCAGCCGGCGATTTCCTACGAATAAAACGTAGGTATAGTGTCAACGGACAAAGACAATATTTTTAAAATATAATATGTATATCTATCTTACACGTTTGTAATAATTATTAAGAAGACAATTTTCGCTCGCATAGATATGCCACTCTGATCTATGTACATTGGCGAGTAATCTTGTGCTCGAGTAAAAGTATTTGAATAAAAGTATTCAATTACATTTTAAAGCACTCAGAATACGTATTTTAAATATGTATATACTTTTATACTCTTTAGCTTCTGTATTTTAAATATTTTTCATTTCAGTCACGTTAAAATTGTTAGATAAAAAAAAGACGGTTATTGTATAACGCATTTGAGTCAGAAAATATAATTTGTATTTTTAAATAAATATAAAATATTACAAATTCCCCAAAAGTTTAACTTTTATTTATATCTTTCAAATATGGTATAATATGGATTTAGTAATTTACAGATAGTCCTGAAAAATATTATTACGTTTATCTGAGTGGATTTCCAAGAATTAGTAAGAATGATAGATTTTCACAAACTATTATTAGCATATTTCTGAACCATTTCGTAAAGGTCTCCACGCACTGCAGCGGTGGCGGTGACGTTAAAATGAGTTCGCACACAATTCACCGGCACCGCCAAGACAAAATAATTTTACCGCCACCGCTGCAGTGTGTGTGTGTGGACCTTAATGCACACATTGTTGAATGTTGATTGGTATAAATATAGTACGTACGTTTATGACTGCATTACGGTAATTTTTGGTGGCCTCTAATTATTTCGGGGCTGCAGTATAAGTATATACCCCCCCCTCCCTCCCAAAGTAGGGTTCTGCCGGCGAGTAGGTACTCAAAAACCTATTATACGTCCATTGTTAAACCCATCTTTGAATATTTTTAAAAAGTATCTCTTACAACAAGACTGCAGCATACAAGTGGGTATGCAATAATATAGTGTGTGGGTACGTACCTGCTTGAGTCCTGCAGTTGTCGGAAATCTGCGGAAAATGGGCCAGGACCGAGAGCGAACGGATCGGCCGAATAAGGGTTCGATGGCGGAGGGTAACCGGCCGGCGGTCGGATCACGTCCGGCAGCGTCGCGTAATAGATGATCCTCTTGGACGTCCTCTGCAAGGCCGCCGGCTGTTGGCGCGAGTGCTGGTAAAAGCTGCTGTCCCGCTGCTGATGGTAGTACGCTGCACCGGCCGTCGCTGCTGGCGGCTGGGGCGACGGGAGCTCTTCGACGCGCGAGTACACGCTGATCTCGGGCCGGGGCCTCTGCCGTTCCGCCCAGCCGTTGGACGTGACGAACTTGTGGTTCCGCGGGTTCCGCACTTCCACTTCGGCCGATCTGAGGTACCGGTCGCACGGTGACGTGCCGTTGTTGACGTCACCGCCGTCGGACACTGAGGCGGACTGCAGCGACTGGTTGTCGTCGTCGTTGGTCCTCGCTTCGGGCGCTGGCGCCGCCGTTTTTGTCTGCACGACGTCCGCCGTGCCGATCGGTCGCAGCGACCAGACGACGGACAACAGGGCCACCAACAGTACCTCCTTCATCCTGCCGCGGATACCGCGGTAATCACAGCGACGTTTTATAAGCCGAATTTCGGTACGTGGGTACCTTTGGTAATACCTAGCTGGTTAGGTATGTGTTTTTATCACTGGCTGCTTGAAATGTATATATATTTTTTTACTAGTGCACTGTTCTCCGTCGAATCTGTAGGGAATTATCAAACGAATATGACATTAATATTTTTTGTGTAAATAGGTCACATCGTCGTCGAGGTCGAGTTACAAATTATTATTAGGTACAGTTATTGTTATAGTTTTGTATTTGCATTTTATGTTAAATTCGCCACGAAATATTCGATGGGCTACTTATACAATAATTGGTTTATAGATTGCTGCAGTGAACGGATTTTCTGCTACAATATCATAGATTCATAGGTAATAATGAACTTTAATTTAAACAATATATTAATACGTATTTACTATTTATATTGTTCTCGATTATCCTCTATCATTATTATGTGGGTCGGGGGACTTATTATCCTCAAAAAGATTGCCTATACATTTGGGCCTGTGTATATAATATAATATAAATACCTGCCTAATATATTATACAATTATACGCGCGAATATAGTATATAATATTATAAGGTAATGGTGTGTATAAGTATCATCGCATAATATTTTATTGTTATGCTGAGGAATTGCACAACTATATAGACGCTGAACATTCGAATCGCGTATATATAATAAATAGATACTCCTGATTAGGTATATATATTTATGTATTATATTGAATCCAAAACTAGGTCATTATCGTCATCGGCGAGTACACGGATGAATTATTGTAATACAATAATAATATTAATAATTATAATAATAGCAGGTTGTATTCTGCAGTACACGTAGACCGTAGGTACAAGTTTATGGTTCGCACACCGAGGTCTGCTGCTAATATAGTGAGGCGCGTCATGGTACACGACCCACCCGGGCGATCGAACCCGGCAGTCGTCGTTTCTTTATTCGGAGGAATCACGGTTTGGTGAACCCTCATCCTCCGCGCCCTTTATAACGCAGACTGGAAAATCGCGGTTTGCCTCGTGGAAAATTGGTTTTTGCTGTTCTAATTAGCGATTTTGTGCGACGGATTGTCGAAAAAACGCAGATTTTTTCCCTCCGGTGAATATAATCGGTATGAAACGATTTTACTCGGGGACGGCAAACAAAAAACAACAATCGAATAATTTTCTAAAACTTTTTTTTGACGAAGACTAATATAATTCGCTGTCGAATTAATAATGTTAAACAAAATTTGTTCATGCTACATACAGTGACTGAATTTTTTTAACACGACTTGTATTTTTTTAGTAGGTACTTTTACAAGATATACATAATATTACCAATATGGCAACATTTTATTACGTGTGCTGTCCATGTGTATACTAATTTTAAATCGATTGTAAATGTGCCCAGTTAATTTATTTTTAGTGCCTTAAATCTTAATACATATGACTATTTGTCTTAGCCAAGATTCCAAATCAATCGATATTTGTTGATTTAAATGGCTTGCAAGTGCTTAATTCGCTTATATGGAATACAACAAAAATGCGTTTTCTGGTAGGTACCTTAATATATTATATTATTATAATTTATGTACAGATGTTATATGATTAAAATCGTCATGACCCGTAAAGTGTTAATGATCCAACAGTCCAACGTATATACAATACGTGTAATCCGTTTTATGAGCGTTATTAACGCATGATGCATAATACAAAATGAAAGACAAAGAAAATTATAGAATCATAAATTAGGCACCTATATAGTATATATATATTTATTTCTTCCGCGGATGATCCATACCTGATAGTGTCACTCCAAATAAATAATTAGACCGTTCATATTATACGATACTTAATCAGAATCTAACGTACGAAATCTCAAACAAACACTAGGTGAAACTATTTACTTGTATGAAACTATGTAAGAATATTATGCAAAAGCAATGTAATAGGCAATAGCTTCACCTACTAGGTATACCAGAAGAATAAGTGATAATATATACACTATACACATATACCTTGTTATAGCTAAACAATACATTATGTTAAATAAATAATATTATACACTTATTTAATTATTTTCGAGCTGTGTAAACTAGTTGTTCCTAAGCCGTACTGTATTTGTAGGTCTATAGATCTAAGTCATATATATCATGCCGGTATAATTAATAAATAATTATAAACACTTGTCTAATACTTATAAAAGTAACTTTATAATTTAAATTATACCTAATACCAATAATACCATATTGTCTATATTGATATTGACTTAACTATATATTTTTTTCGTCATTGTAAATTAAAGGTAAGTGGTACCTAGTAAAAATTTAATATTTAAGCTGCGTCTTTTTTGAACTAGCTACATAAATATAATTCGGTCAGAAATATTTTTTTGGGGGGAATGGTTTAGATAATAAGATATATGACAAGACCAGGAAACAATAATTTTCATTATCCCTCAAAAATGTTTTCTTTTTTTTGAGTTGAATTATATTAAAATATGTAAAATCTCATCAATAGTCAATAAACAATACATAGATATTACAGGCTACATAATATTTATTTATTTGCTTGAAAAAATCTTTTTTAAATTATAATATAGATATAAAATATGAATTATGTAAAATGTAATGTACCTAAGTAATAATAAATATAATTCGAACATCAATTTAGTGAAAAATGTATTAAATTATTGTTAAGAACTAAATACCTTAGTCATGTATTCTACATAGCCACATAGATACCTATTCATTAATTGATATTTCATACAAATTATTGGGCCTAATTATATACTTAAGTGATATTTTTAATAGTTTCTGTTGCAAGACTAAATTTACAACGAAAATGGTAATTGTGAGGCGAATTTACATTTTCCCGTACATATCGTAATTATTAATTATACATATTATTGTGTTTCGAATTTTTCAAAAGTTTGTGCAAGACCTGACCTGACTGAGTAAATACCAAGTATATATTATTGTTATATTAGGTTTATGCCGTACATATACCTACCTACTTATAACATACATCGAAAATTACAGGCCTCTGAACCTAGCCATACGCATATTTCTTCTGCGGCAAGACGAGTTATGTAATTATTAAGAACATTTCAAAGAATGACTAGCTCGCAGAAACAAATACTACAGTAAGAGGAGTTCACACAGTTGAAAAAACTCGCGTATGTAATGCATTGCAGCAGCGCGGGTAAAGGTAAACCTAGTTAATTAATACTTAATTTTATACATTATGCGGTTTCGTGGGAAATCTGAAATTCTGGACAGCAGCTTTGAGCTAGATTAACAATCCTTAATATTTCAACGGTTAAAATACTGTGTGTACTGTGTATACTGTAAAAAACTCGAATAAAGGAATGTAAATATTGACGTAGGTACATATATTCTGTACACCTTAAAATAAAACATATTTTGATCAAATATAACTAAAAAAAACCAGATTTATTAATTTTTAACTCATTTCTTATTTTCTTCTAAACGTCCCGCAAAAAAATAACACCCTATAGTAACTTTCACACACGGTTCAAACATGCAGGGGTTAAATATAGTATTAAAATATAGTATAAAATAAATAAATACATGGTTAGTTTAGTATAATGTATAAATAGTATATTATAATACCAAAATAACGTTAAAAATCCATAGCGTAGTGTAGCTTTCATATTGTTATACTCACATAAATAGTAGGTTCAGTACGAATGGATTGTACACGTTCGACAACTGCGGTGCGGCAAACACTGCGCGCGATATAAGATATTTCGCGGACGAAGGCTAATACCTCTTAGCCTCTATTGTAAATACTGTAAATACCACCACCGTTAATTGTCTTGCAGCGATGAGAACGATACTACAGTTGTAGTTCACTGTATTATATATACCTACAGAGTGAATCACCAAGCATGTTCATCCCCATTTTTCTTTTAATAATGAGTTTGTTGAAATTCTGCAATTTTTTTTGGAATTTGCATGTATACTTAAATACCATAATTTCAAGTAGGTACTAAGGTTTTTTTCATAATAGGTAACAATTTACAGAAAAAAAGGTTATTTCACATTTGGAAAAATAAATGTATACATATTGCCACAGGAAATTCCTGAAAATTGTATAAATTTCAAATAGCACATATACATATATATTTAAAGCAGGCCAAGTATTTTTTTTAACTAAAAATCACATCTAATAACAACTATGTGTCCATGTATATCTTATAATATATGTCTATGCAGAGTGCAAACCTCACTAATAAATTATAATATCATCATTTTTATAGGAACAATGAATAAACGATAAATTGACAATACATTTTTACCGCTTCTTTAAATGGCTAAAAAAATATCACCTGCGGGCTGCAAGCCGCCCACAAATATATGACTGCTAGTGAGCCACTAAAAAAGTTATTTTCCCCGGCTGGTCCGAAATTTCAATGTCCCTGTTTATACCTTACTTAAAAACTTCATTAAACTCATTATTAATGAAAAAATTAAGTGGAGCGTGCATGCATCACCATTCACCATGGTGATAAGTGGAACCACTCTGTATATAATATACATTATACACACATCGAGTAAATGATGAACTGTAACTGCAGTTATTGCAGACTGTAGTATACCTACTTATTAATCATTATTTATTACCTAGGTATATATTTAACACTTATATAATTATATATGTACACGTAAAGCTGCGGAGGAGGTTCTCCTCAGCAGCGTAGATATTTCAGTAGTCTCGATATTACGAATAAAAAAAAATCCTATTTAACGATCCGGACCGTAAGACAATATAGGTATGGTATACAGGACTTGGTGCGTACACATTCTTATTGTTGTGTAGGTAACTATAATAATATATTATACTTATATTATATTGTCTAGAATTCTAGATTGTTTGATTCGGTAAAACGCATGTACAGCTGTAGCATTTGTAAATCGGGCGTTTTTATCATCCGTTCAATGTATACATTTTATTTCGATTTACTTCGATAAACCTTCTCATAAATCGGAGTACACGTTATTGTATGGTAGGAGCAGTTGTATTTTAATTAAACTATTTCACAAGTTGAACTTTAAAAAATAATGTATATTTTGAAATGAAATTGTTTTGAATAAATTTGAATATTACATATAGGTACATATAAAAATATGTTTCAAATGTGATTCCTGAAAAATTCATAAATAAATGGGTTTGATCATCGAAATATTGCCTTGTCAAGTTAATTAATAATCAACACTTAAAAGTATAAACTCTCAAATACAGTGGCGCCGAAGTCCACGCTAACGTCGGGCCATGGCCCGATCTCTTTTTTAAAAAATGTGGCTACGGTAGGGTTGCCATAAAAGTTCAAGTACTGACCGGGACATTTACAAAAATAATTTGAACCTTTTTTTTTTTTTAATATTAAAATTTAGAACGCAGTGTAATGAATATATATATATAATATAGAATAAAACAATAATAGTATTGAATTATGAAAGACATTAAAATTAGAAGATACATTTGATTAACGAAATATTATTTATTTATTCTGAAATATTATATTTTTCTGACTTTTTCACCTGTTTCAATAGCTCTGGTTTTCCCATAGCGTACGTATGAAATTCGACGTGAAATTCATGGTTTTAGAATACAAATATAATTTTTATAAAAACATAATTTATTATAATTATTGGTACTAATATTATTTACACATAACCGGGACTTTTGTAGGGTCTAGTGGGACGACCGGGACAGAAGTCATGAACTGGTGACATGTCCCGGTGTACCGGGACGTATGGCAACCCTAGGCTACGGCCACATTTTATTTACATCATAACTTTATTATGAGCATGAGTATATTAAATCCACGTCACTGTAATTACGAGTAAATATATGTTTCGAAATTGCCCCACCACATTTTCAAAACTTCGGAGCGAAATAAATATGCATGATAATTCAAATTGATCAGGTTTTAGCCTGATAATATTGATGCGTAAAACTATTAGATATTAATTATTATATTATATTTATAAGATTTACTACAATTATAATTTTTGTTTAATCTATGCGGAGGAGAATAGTTACAAATTATATATTCGACTTATACCGTTATTTTTTATAAACATATCGAACTTCTCAGCTTATACTCGGTGTTGGCTTTTTTAAAACAATATTTGATACCAAAATAATTAATATTATTATATTATTGTATATACCTACATAATATTTTTATTTTTAAAACTCGACAGCAAAATCCACAATCTCATACTAATATAGTGATATGCTATTTGGTGTGGTATGTCAACATGCTGTTACAATGTATAAAGTTATTTTTATTATATGTATATTATTATTATTTGTATTATATTATATTAATATATATATATATATATATGATTAGTTATATAAACTTATTATTAAGAACAATGTTTAGGATGTCGGAAAAAAAAAAGTAATTAAAATAATTCCAATCGTATAAGTGTTTTTTTACTATACACATTTTGTATGTATAAATATTTTATTTTTACGTATACATTAAAATTTAAAATATTAAATAATTAAGATAAAAAATATAATATATGAATTCACGTATAGTAAAACTAAATATAAAAATTTTAATTCATATTTTATAAGATTATCGATTTGTGTAAATTTGTATATAATAATTGTTCAATATATATTTAATATATATTATATATTTCATGAACTTACTTCCAAATTCATATCGATTACATACATATTTTTAAAATAACAAGAAGGTACTTAAGACATTAAATTGATTTATAATATAACAATTTTGGAAAATATAAAAAAACAACAAATACTATGATTAAAGATCAATCTTATGCATACAATTATTTGAAATTACAAAATAATATATTGTATAATGGAATAATCATTTATGTATTAATAAACAATGGAAATTTATTAGTTTGATATTCACTGGGACAACAACCCTTTTATTTCGTTTAAAAGCACCGAACCAATGACCATTTTCTCACAATTAACACATACCGTTGCCAAAGACTCTTGTTTCGTAATAGTAAGTAACACAAGACAATTAGATGACAATGTCTGACCACTGAACCTGAAATATAAACATCAGTTATAATAATTAAAATTTCCACTGGAATGAAACATTATTTTTTAAAGTACCAAAACGTGGAAAAAGCATATTATATTAAAGCGTTTCTTATGGGTAAAGATTATTATTTTAAGCATCGAATTTTCATGAATCAACATGCACAATTAACAAACGTGAAGGTACCTGAATATATTTTCTTCTTCCGTAATAACACGCGCCACATTGAATATTTCAAATACGGCTTTCTGTATTTCTAGATTAACATTTTTCAAAGTAACTTGTGCCATGTGCTCGTTCATCCCTTTAAGTTTTACTAAAAACAAAAAATTATTATCATTTAGTGTAAAAACTAAACACACAAAATAATATTAAAAGTCGACGGTTGCTTTTTCAGTTCAATAATTAAAATGATTTTAAAAATGGAAAAGGAAAATTAATTTGTATCCGTCTAATTTGTTTATATTATTTGGTTTACCTTGTTCGCCAACAAAGTCATCCTCGCTCATGGACAGCGGCTGAACGAGTTCACCGGCGGGAACGCGCAGTACGACGTCGCTTTTACGATCCATACCGGCGGTAAACCAGGATACTTCCAAAACGAGAGGTTGAATAGAATCCTTGTAGTCTACTCCAAGTGCACCCAGGGTGACCGAACCCGGTAACAATTGCATGATAGGGGCCGAATTATGAATACTCATGTCAGAACTCTATATATTATGTAAGCATAGAACGTAGGTAAGTCCTTTGTATCAATAGATATAAAGGTATAAACATTTTTTTACAGAAAATAGTGGTGATGGGGTATATAGCGTACGACGAGCATTGAGCAATAATGCCATCATTAAATGTATATAATGTACAACGATGTTGTAAGACTATATAAACGTTATGTAAAAGTTTTAACCCCCCCCCCCCCCCCAACAAATATATAATCGAGCTTTGGATTCCGTACTATAATATAGAGAAACAACCTTCGTGAAAAATGTGAATACGCTCATTTCAAATGAGGAAAAATCAGGATCAATGATTATATTTGATTACCATACATTATATAATATTTAATAGTACCTATCTACGTCCTAACTTAGATTATGTGATCTATATTATATACGGTAATAAAGGAAAGATCATATAACACTGATTTTGCCTTCCGAATGGGCGTAGACGACGTTTGATGATCGCGGAGAATGGAGATTCTCTTTCTCTCTCTCTCTCTATATATATATATATGTTACGGGTAATGTTAACATTCGGATAATGTCGACATTATCCGGCTAATGTCGACATCAGCCATCCGTGTTGGCTAATGTGTAATTTTTCGTTTATAAACTTGAAACATCAACATTATCCGGATAATGTTAACCTTAGCCAGTCAATTTTGGATAATGTTAAAAGTTATGTACTAAATAGGCTATATAGAGGTTTTTTAGCATTCTATGGTGGTGAGCAACTTTTTTGGTGCCAAGGACCAAAAAATAAAAAATAAAATTCACGGGCCTATATATCACACTTCATTATATTATTACAATCTAAATTTTAAAAGTTATATCAAATTTAATTTATTTAAGTTTCATCACTGCTTGGTATTATTTAACGTGGTATATATTAACACAGCTTTAATAATAACACATAATAATAATAATAAAAAAAATTAAAAATATGAAAATACTAATAAATTAATATGATTTTTAAATTTAGATAAATTGTAATCGCAGGCTTAAAATCGCAACACAGGCCGCGGGTT